TTTATGTTTTTGTTTTGTTTTGTTTTTTTCTTTTACAGCTCAAAGCTTCTTTTTCTTTCTATAGTTCCTTCTCCAGACCTGTTCAGATTTTGGTCCTGCTGAGGATGAGTTTAACAACTTGTGGAGACAGGAAGCGCGGTGGGACATGGCCTGCTGCAGGTAGGGGAGGGTCACAGAGTTCCTCTCTAAATCATCTGAATGCCTCCCCTGTTTTCCCTAGGGACACCTGTCTGCCCCTGCCCTGATGTCTGATGTTTTTATGCAAGAGGTTTTCTCTGCAGTGTGGCTTGCAAAAGTAAGCCAGGCAGCAACCACCACGCAACGGGAGAACTGCAAAACCTTTGGCTGTACCCATGGGGCTTACATCTATAAATGAGTGTTTATTTTTTCCCAAAATCTCACCTATCCCATATTTCAATGTGCGTTTAACAGCATGCAGACTTTCAAGCTTTAGTCTCATGCTCTGTAGTTATGTCCGGCTGTGTTTCTCCAGACGTGGTATTCCCTACGAAGCACGGCTTGGCAGATTGCTTCTGAAATGGGGACCACCCTGAAAGGAAAAGGGAAAGCCAGTCCCAGTTTGTGCCCAGCAAGGGTGACAGGTTGTACCACTCTGCACAGACACCTCCAAGCCGCAGCACAGCTCCTGCCTGCTTTGTGGGAAACGAAATTTTTGAGTGTGTTTTACAATAAACCTATATCTAAAAACAACATGATTATACGCCTCCCACACGCTCTCAAAATATTGACCTCTAAGCTCCAAAACCACAGGGATTTCCTGCATGGGCTAGAGAATAGCCTTTGCTAGGGAAGCCAAATCTGGGACCGTGATGCTCATTATGGGTGCCAAGCTGCGAATCTTACTGGGAACATCTTTGTGGTATTTTTGCTTCTGTTCAAATGCACACTCCTGCACAATCCCAACAACCTTCCTGCCCTCTGGAAATTCCCGTTCCAAGATGCGTTTGGCACAGAAATAAATGAGTACAGGCTCAGAACAGGAAGGAACATTAGGAAGTGACTGCAATACCACTTAAAAATTCTATTACAAGTTTTTCAGCCTCCAGGTAGTTCTAATTTACACCAGGGACTGGGGAGGACTGGAATGATTTCTGCCATTAGCCCAGGATCCATGTGGCACGCAGAAACCTGCAGCTCCAAACCCAGCCTCCTGCTTCATTTATCTCTGTTTAATTTTCTCTAGGTTTTACCAGCAGCATTAAGGAAGGGCATTGCTGTGCTGTGCCTTGCAAGGACGAGCGGCATGGGGGAATTCCCCTACTGAAAACACAAGGGTCCACAGGACAGTAACTGGAAGAGACCCACATCCCTAATTCCAAACAACAGCATCTCGTCCAGAGATGCACACCCTGAAGAATGTCCCTGCCTCAGGAGCCCAGACTTTGCCCACAGATGCAGCAGCTGCCCACTGTGTGGGTACCCTGTGTGTGCACACACATTTACAGAGGGTTTGTGTTGGTGCCCTGCACAAACCACCCCTGTAACTCATTGTGGTAGAGCCGCTCCACAACATAGTCCTATGGGCCCCCTTGGGAAGTGCACCCTGAAAAACACACAAATTGTGGTCTCACAGGCCAAACCAGGGGGGAGAGCAGGCACCTGAGCTGCCTGTTCCTCAAACCACCCCCTGTGTACCTCCAAAAAGGGATGGAGGAAGGGAGATACAGGAGGTCACCAGTGGCTGTCATGAAGCAAGGCAAAGAATAAGCCCGATGATAAGGGAGGAGAGTGTTACTCATTACTATGGTTTCTAGAAAACGTCTCATAAAAACCAGTATTAAAGTGAATGAGTGGCGTGTAGTGAGGTTCACCTAAATGGTGGTGTCAGACTAGCCTGATCCTGAGCTCTCTTCCTGCTGAGCACCCCTCACACAGCTAGAAGAAGCTGAAGACTCCCTCCTCAGTTGTCTCTGATTTTTTTCTCCTTTATTTTAATTTATTTTAATAAGTATCTCTTTAATTTATATTCAATTTAGGGCTCACTAAAACCCTGGGATTTATTTTGTGGGCTCACATGCAGTGGTGTTGGCCCAATGACAGGTTTCTCAGGGCAGCACTCGTACTGACATTTACCACAGAAACAAATTCCTTTCAGGACAAAGACCTCTTGTACTGTTGGTTGCTGGGTCTTCGATTTTAAGGGGAAAAAAATAAAATAAAACACCCACATCCTTTACAAATTCTACAGTATCAGAATAAAAAGTTGCAGCCTGTTGCTGACCTGCAGCAAGAAGGTCCATACCAGCCATAGTGATTTCTCCATTTCCTTGCTGGGAAGGAGAGGAGAGCACCGCAGCTCAGCTAAAAGCCCTGAGGGATGGGATGAGGGTGGTGATGGAGGATGAACCTTCCAAACCCCTTCTGGCCAGGGGCACTCAGAGAGCTGGGGCACCCTATGGTGAGCTACCAAAAGGTCCATATAGGTGCCAGCCTTAGAGAAAGAAACACATTTACAGGGAAACCCCAGATAATTTTCAAGGCTTTGCTATATAAATATATTAAAGATCTTAAAGTAATCTGCTGGCATAAAACAAGAAGCTTATTTCATTCAGTGTATTTGTTTTAAGATGCCAATCAAACGGTCTTTCCGCAGCAAAAACTCAGTGGTAGATTTGCCTTTGCGCATGCAGTTGGGATTGGGCCCAAGAGGTGACAGCCAACAGATAAGGAATTGATTAATGTTCAGTAAGAAGCAGGAGGAAGGAACGTTATCAGCAGTTTCACCTGACTCACGCGATGGGCTGATAATCTATTGAGAACTCCAAGGAGGTCTGAAAGCATCGTGGTCCCCACCTTGGGAAGACTCCTTTCCTCTCGTGCACAGGCAACGTTTCAGCCAATCTTGGCCGCTGCACCTTGAGAAGAAAACTGATGGGAAAAATACTTCTCTGGACCAGGCATCAAGATGGGCCTTTGGGAGCACTGTTGACATTGCACATAAGGAGAAAACTAGTTTTTTAAGTTTTAAGTTTGATTTTTTTCTTCCCGTGATGGAGTTAAAAGGTGTGATATGAACTGCTGAGTGCCGGAACACAGTCCTCTTTTGCCTGCAGCTTGGTGTCTTGTGAAAGGAACAATACACCAATACACCAAATGTCTGGTTTACAAACCCTGACTTTCAGTGAGAAGTGCCATCAATATATTAAATAGGGGCGAACATAAATGAAGTACATAAAATATTAAATAAATTAAACAGCAGGAAAATGAGCTCTATTATTTTTTCCCTTGTAGACCAAAATCTGTCCCACAGGATTCAAAATACTTTTCAACAAATAAATTACCTTCAAATCATAAATACAGAAGTTTAAAGTTCTCACTTTGAACTTTGTCAAGGAAAGAGGCACAAACCAAACTCTTATATAATAATCAAAGGCATGAAGGCACAATTCTGTCAAAGACCAAATAAAGCATTGAATTCCTGTTTTGATGATGAAGAGGAAAAATCCCCTGGTGGTTTTCCCATGGGAAAAGGTACGTGGCAGAGCACTACAGGGGCTCACTCTGCGGGTGCCTCCTCTGGGGAGGGTGCAGAGATGGTCCTACCATCCCACTGCTTGTATCCCTCTCCTTGGCACTGCTCTGCTTGTGCTGAAGCATTGGGAAAAAGCTAGACATCAAGAAATGCTACAGTAAAAGGTAGAAAAATGTCCCAAAAGGGGATTAAAGCTTGACCGGGTGGTCTAACTCTCAAGGCCGGTTGACCTGAAACAGCTCAAAGGCTGCCTTAGAGGCCACCTTTGAAACCAGGAGAAAAGCCATTGGGAAATTAAGAGGTCAAACATGGTGCTTCAGAAGTTTGGTTTTGGCAAATTACGTGCCCGTGGTGTTGGACAGGTTGCAAAAGCAATATGCTGCTCTGGGGACCAGGCAGAGGGGATGGAGGCAGCCCCTGTCACAGTCACACTGGGGCAGGACCCACGGGTTAGGAGGGGGTCTGCTCCAGGTGCCTGACCTTCCTCCTTGCAGAGGACAGCAACTCCAAAATACTGACTGAGCCACTTGGGTCTGAACCTCGGACCAGTACAGAGCCTGTAGGTCAGGCTGAGATCATATATAACCTCTCCTTTCCTCTCTTGAGTCTCTTTATGCTGTTGGGCCTCTTGGGGTTTTGGGTTATTTTCCTAATCTTACCTTCTTTTCCCATTTCAAACAGGTGCAAATTGCCTTGTGTGGAAACGTACGGTGGCCTCAGCCGGGCTCGCTATTTCACTGTCACACCTTCCCCTTTCTGTGTTTATTTATTTCTTCTGGTGCACGGTGTGTACTGTGGTCTCCTGAAGCTTGGAGGTGTCACATCTCCAGCCCCCCCTGCCTTACCCATTTTAGAGTAAGCATAACCAAAACATTAAGGCTGGGGAAAAATTGAGGCAGAAAAGATGCACTTGGATAGGAAATCAGTTTAGACTGAATATTAGGAAGGAATTTTTCACAGAAAGAGTGGTCGGGCATTGGAATAGGCTGCCCAGGGAGGTGGTTGAGCCACCATCTCTGGGTTTGTTTAAGGGACGTTTAGATGTGGTACTGAGGGATAGGGTGTAGGAGAGGACTATGTACAGTAGGGTAGATGGTTGGACTCGATGATCCCAAGGGTCTCTTCCAACCTGAATGATTCTATGATTCTATGAAATGTAGGTACATACTTTTCAGTACTGGCACCCATTTAAAGCTGCCCAGAGGTCTGGAGTACTCTAATGGCAATGAAATCAGCTGGAGCTGCCAGAGGCACCCAGCAGCGTCCATTTAATAGATTATGGGATCACGTAATAGATATGTATCCATAGGTACGTAACAGATATGTGATCAAAAGCTCACGGGAGCCTAGGAATTTATCTCAGGGATATCAAAATATGCATGTCAACATTTCCTTATTAAACAAAAGAAAACCCAACCTCTGGGTGAAGCATCGGATGGAACAATGTTATCAGAACTCACCAGGCAAACACGAGGAGGGTATAAAACGAGCTGCTCCCCAGGGAGAGAGGCACCTCTCCTCCACCCACCTTCCAAGAGCAATGGATCTCAGAGTGATCTGCACGCTCTCCGCCATCCTCGTCGTAGCCCTCAGCTCCGTGGCAGAGGGAAAGACATTACCAAGTAAGTACTGTTGCCTTCACAGGTATGTATGTGGGCCTGATCCTACTGACTGTCACTGCGGCAAGAGCGTGTCTCCAGTTTACATATCAGAGAGGAAAAGTCTCGCTCTGGCACTATTAGCAAAGCTGGAGTTTACTCTTCATTTTTTTCCAGAGAAATCTATGGCAAAATAAAAAAAAAGACTGCAGGTCTTGTGCTGGTGGAATTACCAGGAACCTGCTGCAAAAGGCAGAGGGACAGAGAAGCCCAGGAGCTCACCAGAACAGGGCCAGGACTGGAACAGGATCTAGCTTTGTCTAAATAGCCTTCTGACATTTATTTTATGCTACTTTGCCACATGAATACAATTTTAAAGGAGTCTGTCTGCCTCCTTAATGAAAGACAAGTCATTTAGACAACTTGGGAAGTGGAAAGCAAGCAAATCAATGACAGGCATCTAGGGACATCTCCAGAATGTCTTGGTTGCAGATGACTGTGCAGTAGACTTAAAATTTTGAAAGTATAGCTGCAACTATTTGCATGTAATCCTGTGTTTTCTATAGTCACCTGATGAGAATGAAAAGATTTTATATCTTTACACCAGTTCAAATATCCACCGGACCCTTAACTCTTTCTTTCTTCACATGAGATGGGCAAAGCAATGAACCTTTTCTAGCATGACATTTGAAGATACGGGTCTTTACCGTTTGATGTGGTCTGTTTGAAGTCCACACACCCCACTGTGCTGGGCTGGTTTGTCTGCAAGCAAGACCACAGATTCTCAAAGGGTGGAGTAAAACTATTACTGAAGCCAGTGAGAGTTTAAGACCCACTTTTACACCACACAATTTCTGGTCTCAGCAAGTGACAGAAAAGGTACACTTGCAAAGATGGACAGTCTAGGGAAAGATCATTGTTCCCCAGTGGACATCCAATAAATGCACCTCTGCTAACCAGAGTGAAAACCCAGTAACTTTCTAATTCTGCCCCAAACAGCGAGATGCCAGTGTAAACTGGCCCCCAGGGAGCGGAGGAACTGCGGCTACCCGGGAATCTCAGCAGCAGAGTGCAAGAAAGCTGGATGCTGCTTCAACGCTTCAGTCCCCGGCGTTCCCTGGTGCTTTGCTCCTAAACCAAAGAGAGGTAATAATATCTCTGCCAGAAACACTGATTTGCCTAGTGTTTGATTATGCAGAAATGTGTACAACCAGGGAGTAGCTCTGCTTTTCTTCTTAGGGCAATGAGGTGGGCATTACCCTCTATTAGAATACCACTGGCAGTAAAATGAAGAGTAGAAACTTGCTTACCCGTCAGTCTTCTGTCTCATGCTCTTCACACAATATCATTCCTCCTCTTTCAGGCTTCTAGTTATCAGATAACTCACGTTGATTATTTAAAAACATTTCACTACCGTTTGTGGTCTTGTTCATCAGTAGAGCACTTACATGAGTGGGTTTTCTGTGTGGCTGAGGAGGACTTTTTGACACACGGAATGACTTTACCACCTTGGAGGGTTATAAAGGAGGTGTGTTTATTCAGCGCCAGGCGCTCATGGGATCCTTCCCAAAGATGTGCGCGCCAACACACAGCAAAGTTCTGTGTTTATGGCCCTAAATAATACATATTCAACAGGTATGACACAACGCCTATACATATGCATTAACTCTCCCCATGAGAGTGGTGGTGAGACACTGGAAGAGGTTGCCCAGGGAAGTTGTGGATGCCCCATCCCTGGAAGTGTTCAAGGCCAGGCTGGATGGGGCCTTGAGCAACCTGCTCTAGTGGGAGGTGTCCCTGCCCATGGCAGGGGGGTGGAACTCGATGATCTTTGAGGTCCCTTCCAATCCTAACCATTCTATGATTCTATGATTCTAACTCTTCATTTGCATGCTTCTCATGCAAATGAATTCTCCACCCCCCTGAGTCTGCGCAGTGCTTCTTGCTTCAGGCTTCTAGTTATCAGATAACCCATGTTGATTATTTAAAAAACATTTCACTACCATTTATGGTCTTGTTCATCAGTAGAGCACTTACATGAGTGGGTTTTCTGTGTGGCTGAGGAGGATTTTGCCATGTGGAACAACGACTTTACAACCTTGGAGGGTTATAAAGGAGGTGTGTTTATTCAGCGCCAGGCGCACACGGGATCCTTCCCAAAGATGTGCGTGCCGACACACAGCAAAGTTCTGTGTTTATGGCCCTAACTAATACATATTCAACAGATATGACATAACACCTATACATATGCATTAACTGTCCCCTCTTCTCATGCAAATGAATTCTCCACCCCCTTGAGTCTGCGCAGTGCTTCTTGGTAGTGGTCGGCAGGGGGTCTCAGGGATGAAGTTAGTAGTCTTCCGCGCTGTGAATTTTTCACCTCTATGTCTGGTGCAAGCTCAGATCACCCTTGGAGTTCATCCAAACCACAGGCCTGGTCTTGGCTTGTTTTCGGAGCTTCGGCCTTGGCTTTGAGCGTTCTGTCTCTTCCCAAATCCCTTATTCGAGATAAGCAAGCACCTGCAAGGTTACACTACCCGTCTAAGATAGAACTTTTTGACACACGGAATGACTTTACCACCTTGGAGGGTTATAAAGGAGGTGTGTTTATTCAGCGCCAGGCGCTCATGGGATCCTTCCCAAAGATGTGCGCGCCAACACACAGCAAAGTTCTGTGTTTATGGCCCTAAATAATACATATTCAACAGGTATGACACAACGCCTATACATATGCATTAACTCTCCCCATGAGAGTGGTGGTGAGACACTGGAAGAGGTTGCCCAGGGAAGTTGTGGATGCCCCATCCCTGGAAGTGTTCAAGGCCAGGCTGGATGGGGCCTTGAGCAACCTGCTCTAGTGGGAGGTGTCCCTGCCCATGGCAGGGGGGTGGAACTCGATGATCTTTGAGGTCCCTTCCAATCCTAACCATTCTATGATTCTATGATTCTAACTCTTCATTTGCATGCTTCTCATGCAAATGAATTCTCCACCCCCCTGAGTCTGCGCAGTGCTTCTTGGTAGTGGTCGGCAGGGGGTCTCAGGGATGAAGTTAGTAGTCTTCCTCGCTGTCAACTTTTCACCTCTATGTCTGGCGCAAGCTCAGATCACCCTTGGGGTTCAACCAAACCATAGGCCTGGCCCTGGCTGGTTTTTGGAGCTTCGGCCTCAGCTTTGAGTGCTCTGTGTCTTCTTCCCAAATCCCTTATTCGAGATAAGCAAGCACCTGCAAGGTTATACTACCCGTCTAAGATAGAATACTTCAAGGATACAAATAACTACTAGACATTTCAAGGTTCTATGGATACAAACAACTACTAGATCCCCTTTTCAGACTTCACCACTGCATGTCAAAGTCCTGAGTAGACGAGTGTCTCTGTCTCCCCATGAGAGTGGTGGTGAGACACTGGAAGAGGTTGCCCAGGGAAGTTGTGGATGCCCCATCCCTGGAAGTGTTCAAGGCCAGGCTGGAGGACAGGGATGAAGTTAGTAGTCTTCCGCGCTGTGAATTTTTCACCTCTATGTCTGGTGCAAGCTCAGATCACCCTTGGAGTTCATCCAAACCACAGGCCTGGTCTTGGCTTGTTTTCGGAGCTTCGGCCTTGGCTTTGAGCGTTCTGTCTCTTCCCAAATCCCTTATTCGAGATAAGCAAGCACCTGCAAGGTTACACTACCCGTCTAAGATAGAATACTTCAAGGATACAAACAACTACTAGACACTTCAAGGTTCTATAGATACAAACAGCTACTAGATCCCCTTTTCAGACTTCAGCACTGCATGTCAAAGTCCTGAGTAGACGAGTGTCTCTGTAGATGTTTGGATATGACATAACACCTATACATATGCATTAACTGTCCCCTCTTCTCATGCAAATGAATTCTCCACCCCCTTGAGTCTGCGCAGTGCTTCTTGGTAGTGGTCGGCAGGGGGTCTCAGGGATGAAGTTAGTAGTCTTCCGCGCTGTGAATTTTTCACCTCTATGTCTGGTGCAAGCTCAGATCACCCTTGGAGTTCATCCAAACCACAGGCCTGGTCTTGGCTTGTTTTCGGAGCTTCGGCCTTGGCTTTGAGCGTTCTGTCTCTTCCCAAATCCCTTATTCGAGATAAGCAAGCACCTGCAAGGTTACACTACCCGTCTAAGATAGAATACTTCAAGGATACAAACAACTACTAGACACTTCAAGGTTCTATAGATACAAACAGCTACTAGATCCCCTTTTCAGACTTCAGCACTGCATGTCAAAGTCCTGAGTAGACGAGTGTCTCTGTAGATGTTTGGCACCTGTACAAAAGACCACAGACATGCTGTAACTTCGGGGGGTTTTGGTCTTTTTCTAGCCTGGTCTGATAATTGCTACGTCCTTCCTGTTTCCCAGCATAATTCCACTTTGAGGTTCTTATTTTCTCTACCATTGCGCTGTGAATTTTTCACCTCTATGTCTGGTGCAAGCTCAGATCACCCTTGGAGTTCATCCAAACCACAGGCCTGGTCTTGGCTGTTTTTTGGCACCTGTACAAAAGACCCCAGACATGCTGTAACTTCTAGGGGTTTTGGTCTTTTTCTAGCCTGGTCTGATAATTGCTACATCCTTCCTGTTTCCCAGCATAATTCCACTTTGAGGTTCTTATTTTCTCTACCATTTTTGCTCCCAGTCTTCATTCAATGAAATCACCAAAATATCTCAGGGGAAATCCTCTTCTCCATTAGGTTCTTCCTTCTAAAAGCTTCTAAACTCCTGCTTCCTCTTTTTTGCCTTTGTTTTCTCAGAGAGGGTAAGAGCTGATCTCCCGAGGACTGGGTGTATATTTAACATAACTGCTGAATGTAAGCTACATTTGCTGGGCTGGTTGTACAACTTCTTCTTAGGAGAACTTCAGGGCAATCTCAGCAGGTGAAATGAAGGGAACTGAGGGTGCAAAGGCAACTTTACTCAACAAAAGAATATTATATGAATCAAGATTTGTCAACAGGGCTCAGAATTGTCAAAGGGAAAAATATCGCATTTGAACACTGTTAGAATTTAATGAAAATCTTGAAAAACTGATGGCAGCAACTTACAACATCATTTTCATAGAATTGCTTTTCTGAGCAGAATGGTTTCAGGAGTGGAAAATTGAATTATTCAGGCTGGGTGGTATAATTTCTTTACCTGTGATTTCACTTTAAATTGCTTGGAGGAGCTGTGACCTCCTCCAAAATGCCCTACCTCCTTTCCATAACTTAAGTTGGCACACAGAGGAGGCTGGGTTTTCCTCTCCCCACATCAGCCAGGCTGCTATGGGGTCAGGTCATGAATACACCCTGGTCCGAGGCCAGTGTCCATGGTACTATTATGAAAGCCATTTGGGTCTTGACCCCATCGCTGGACCTAGGAGAAGTAAAGATGGATTGCTGTCTCTCAGGCACTTCTAGGGGCAAATTTTGCCCTCTCTGACCCCTGGGGTGCAGCAGCAATTCCTCACCCCTTGGTATTTAGCTTTGCCTAACAGGCACGGTAAGGAGTTGGGTGAACTTGCCTCCTGAAGTGGGTGTGGAGAAGGTTGTCATGGCTGTGATGTTCGCTTACTGGCCTCACCTTGATGGTTTGCCTTTCATTTATGATCTCTGCTGCCCGGTAAACAGAGAACAAAGTAACACAGCCTCCTTCCTTCCTTCCTTCCTTTGTGTTTGCTTTACGCAGTTAGGAAAGTATGTCCCAACGACTCTTACGCCAGGATAAACTGCGGCTTCCCCGGCATCACAGCTAGGGACTGCGAGAGGAGGGGGTGCTGCTTCAGGGCACATCCCGCTGGTGTCCCCTGGTGCTTCTACCACCGCACTGTGGAGGAAGGTAATGTTCTGCACAAGATATGGTCCCCTATGTCCCTGTGGGTGCACCACGGCTCCTGGCAGGGTCCATGCTGTGCCTGGGCTTGGTGTGTGGTGGGAGGCCGGTGCGGTGGGAGGCCACGCTTGAAGGATTGAGCAGGATGGGGTCTCCCTGCCTTCCTGGGGTAGATACAGAGCTTCCTCACCCAGGAAAGAGGAGGCTAAACCCTAAAAAGACCAACTTCTTGAACCAAGGGATGAGTGTTGCCAGTGCACCTGAGCCAGGGTCGTGTGGGCAACTTGACTGCACAGGGAGTCTGGGCTCAGGTGTGAGCTCAAGCCCTCAGCTAATGTGATGGTAGAGGTGCAGCTCCCGAACTCACATCTACTTTATCACAAAAGATAAAAGGCTTTGCTTTAGAAATGTCGAATGAAACTTATTGAAATTTCTGTCCCCCTCCTTCTGTGTTTTTAATACGGATTGACCTTTCAGCATATCTAACACAGATAACCAAGAGCCTCAGCTAATTCTAACCCATCCTACAGTGTATTTTGTACTGGAAATAATTCACCATAATTTGGTTTTACTGATCTGAATTGCAGTTAGGAAACACATGTACGACTGGCAGGGGGGCAGGGAAGCAATTGCTAAAAATTTGCCGTTTTGATGTCCTGCAGCTAAGCAAAACACTTCCTAACACCTTGTGCAATTGATGGAGAAAACACGTCCCTTAATCTGCTTCTCCTCTTTACCTCCCCAGGTTGTTAAAAGAGGAACTTCCATCAAGAACCTTGTGATCTTTTGACCTACTCCCAGAAGAAACAACAGCCAGTGGTCCCAATTCAGACTTTACAGTTTGCAACAGCTATGATTTGTAGATCATTTTTACCTTGGGATTGACTCCTTCCTGATGAAAAGTTACTTGCAGCTTTTTTTCCTTCAGTAGGCTAGTACTGTGCAGGTTTTCACCATAATAAAAGAACTAAGACACAGTTTGTGAGTTCTCTGTTATCTTTATTTTAAAGCTGTGTGTTTCTCTGTTTCCCAGGAAAATTTGGCATCTCAGCAACTCCTCGATGACAGAGTAATCACTAACACTTCTGAGAGGAACATGGCACTCGGCTCTTTGTGTTAGCTACACTTCACACATGCAAGTGACTGCTTGCATTTGTGACCTGATGATGTGGCCTCACACGGGCCACTCGCCTTTCTGAATACTGAAAATATTCAGAGTTTCCCTTTATATAGCTACAGCTGTGGGTTTGTTGGGCTTTTTTTCCCCTTGAGACGTAGGGAAGGGTACCTTTGTTAGCTGACCACCGAGCTGATCTGACTCGGAGCCCTCCTGCTCTCTGCATCACTGTGTCCCTGATGCTGCCAATCCCCCTGTGCTGCCACCAGCGGGGCACGGAGCAGCTCAGGAAGGCAGATGACAGCCATGAGGCACTCTGCCCAACTCAACACGGGCTCCAGCTGCCCATCCAACATGCAGCTAAAGCACCGGCCACTCTCACTGTTAACCAGCCTCCCCACGAGCAGGTCCCAGAGGTCACGCTCAGGAAAAGTCTCTGCAACACTAAAAGAAAGGCACAAGTCCTGACCTATACCTGAAATTAAGCCTGCTGTGTCTCGTCAGGCCCTGGAGAAGCTCCTGGTCTCCAGGCGAGTGTGGCTGCTTGCTCCTTGGTGTCTTTGATGTTCAGCCCTGCAGCCCAAATGCTCCCCTGCTTTGGCTGAGTGAGAGCACAGTAAAGAGCCTCTAAGGGCACCACTGGGAACAAAATAGGTGATTGGAGACTGGCACGGCAGCAAGCCATGCTCAGGGCTTAGAAGGAAAGAGCAGCTGTGCAGGGTTGTGCTGCAAGGAGAGAGAAAATGGTGGGGACGCATCCCTCCCTAGAGATATCTCCAAGTACGCTTTCGTGATGAGTGAGTTTATCCAAGCAGACAAAAATTAGTCATTCATAAAACTTCATTACCTTGCACTTGCAATAGGCTAAATAATATGATTTGAATATGTGAGGATATTGGTTCTAATATGGGCAATAAACTGACAAGTCTTCTGAAGGTCTTTGCTGAGGAAGGTTTGATGGTATAGCCCAGGTGAATTTGGAAGGCCTAAGCACAGTGTAACCACGATAATACTGCATTGCAAGATTTGGTGCAAGAACTAGGTGGGTTCACCAGGTAACAGGACCTCCGTAGGCATCTCGTTGGGAGAAAGAATGAAAACGCAGCCACACTGATAAAAGTAACCCTAAGTAATGCAGTGGGAAATCATCTGCAGGGACCAAAATTAGGCTATTGGAGTCAGCATACTTCAAGGGCAGAGCTCTCACAGAGCCACACGTACTCACCGAAGGCCTTTTCCTTCTGCAGAGGCATGTACCAGTGTGTACACCACAGAGTGCAAGGGGGGCATGTGGGTATTTCACCGGGACAGGCTCAGATGGATCACGACTTATTACTCGTCTCACCCTCCCATATCTCTCCACTGAGGCTGTGGCAGTGAGGGAGGCACAGGCCAGTGGTCCTGCTGACTTTCCACCGCCACAGTGTACAGGGGCTGTCTTTGGCTTTGCAAGAAAAATTATGCTTAGCAAGGGCGGTGGTGGTACCGTGGGGTCCTCTGCTGCAAGACCTTGATTAGGAAACTCATCCTGGCAAGGCACAGCAGCTGAAACTCCTGGGAGCTGCTTGAGCCCCTCTGTTGGAATGATCTGCACATTGGCACAGAGAAAAACAGCAGGGATTATGCAGTAAAGCCCCACTGACAGCAGCCTAACTCCAAAGGGACAAAGTGTGAAGGGCTGAACGTGCTCACTTACTGTCCCTGGGCATGGTGTCCCCTGCAAAAAACACTAACTGCTATATGCTGACCAGCAAACCATCCCCAGCAGTGTGATAAGCTAAGCCAAGGCGCTGGGTCATGCAGTTGCTCTGGACATTCGAGGTTATAAATCAGAGTTAGTTGCTCATAGCAAAAAGAATTATGACCTAAGGCTCTGTCAGCACCAGTAAGTCCTAAGGGACGATGGCTATTCCGGGATTTTACATTAAGTGTATGCATGAGGTCTTTCTATGTAGATTGTTATCCACAACCACACAAATGCACTTGAAAAAAACCTGCCAAGCATTCTTAAAATTAACATTTCTGGTGAGAAAACAAGCTGGTAAAAACCAGAATAAAAGCCACAGCTGCTGAGGATGTGAAAATGGCAGGCAGAGCCGAGGTAGAGCAAAGTGACATCCCAAAACAGGAATGCACACCAAAGAGGAGCGTGCAGGACCTGCAGAGATGTGGTTACAGAAGCTCTCCTCAGCTTCAGGGCCACTTTGTGGGTTTCCCCCACCCGATTCAGTCACCATGGGCCCTGCTCACAGGCCTCAGAGAGAAAAGACACCTCTGGGGTGGAAATCACCTGGTTAGTTCAAATGAGCAAATTGAACTGCCCAGAAAGGCCTCCTCCTCACCCAGCTCCAAAGGATGCCTACACAAGCAGCTGTATGTATCTGCTCTCCTTCCTTGGGTTTCCCCATCGGTGCCTCTTGATGCTGGAGCCACCCAGGAGAGAGGAGAGAGACAGAGGAGGGGAACACCACTGCCCTGGCACAGATCTCTGACTTGATGCTAGCTCTCCTAGGCGACCTGGTGGCTGAGGCCCAAGAAAGACAAACCGCTGTACAGGAGTGGGGGCATCCTGGCTGCTGATTGCATTGATTACATTTTGGAGCTCACAGCCTGGCTGGAGAGACAGAAGTAGATATGCGCAGTTCGTTCATTTATTTTGCGTCAATAGATTGACAAGCTTCACTAGCTGATGCAATTGAAATGGCTTCATATTATTAGATTGTGTAAAGTCTGTCCCTTCTTCAACTTTTTTTTTTTTTTTTCCCCATTCTTTTTGCTTGTATGGTGCTCTGCCCAGCACTAGACAGAGAAATTTAAACAGAGACTTTAAAACTGTTTTTAGTATTTCAGGCTGGTTACTTTACCTCATTAATTTGCATAATGAAAAAAAATCTGAGTGCACCCACAACACCTTGAGACTGATGGGTGGCCACACTGGGTTATTTCAGAGATTCATCTAGTCATCTGTCCTTCAGTGATGAAAAGAGCTGTCTGGGGAGAGGCTCAGGATAAGAGTACAAGAGTAGGCTTCTCTTTTAACAACATGCAGAGCTGTCACAAATGGGAATGAGTTTTAACAAGGAAATATGAGAAGCACAAATGAAAACTCACCCTTTGCCTCTTTGCAGCTCTGCTTGCATCCCCCCATCACCGTACAGCGAGGGCTACACGAGTAAACAAAGTTCTGAATATTTTTCTGAGGGGAAAACAAAGTAGGTCAGCTACACGATTTTCGTCAGCAAAGGTGCTACCATAACAGGAATCAATTCTCTGTGACACAAGGCATTTGTGCTGATGAGGCTATTGCGCAGATAGTGAATGACGTCTAAAATCACGGATGCCTGGTAGTCCTAAACTGTCTGTAATCATGACAGCTGTGTGCAACCAGTGCTTCAGCTTCTAATAAGGCCGAACAGAAAACATTTGACGTTGCAGATTGATTGCCTGTGTGGTTCTTCAGCGAGTGAGGATATTCTGCTGTTTTTTAAAGCAATCATAGCCACCGAAAAGGTCTCAGCAATCAGTCATTTTGAAGCAGTGCAGGAAAGCTGTGCTTGGCTGACATGGAGAATTAACAGGGGAGAAAACTAGGGCAGACAAAGAGCTCAGAGCAGATGGGTGCTAGCAACAAAGAACAAACCTGTAGCAATCTGAAAAAGGGATATAACTGAAAACACCTCCAAAAATGTGTATTTTAATGTGCCCACTTACTTCAGATCACATTTCCAAATGTCTCTGGAAAGGGTATGCTTCCTGCTACAGCTACTATCACACACCTCTTCTGGCAAAGCTCCTGTTCAAAAGCAAGGTTTCAGACAAGGTGCTAAAGTGAAAAAGAATGCAGAAACTGAAATCTTCCTCTGTTGAGAGCAGCTAAATCACACAATTCTGCCACAAGTCTCTAACAAGCTCCTGGCTTAACTGAAGCTTGAAAACTTGACCGCGATCCCATTTAACAGCTTGGAAAGCAGAAGGTAAAACACAAGAACCAAATTTCATTCCCTGTGTCAAAACCAGGCAGAAGAATCAAGACCTAGATTCAGCTTCCAGGAGGTTGCCCTCTCTGCCAGGCTGAGTGCAGAAAGGGGAATCACTGCTATGAGGTGCAGGTTGCAAAACCTTCCTTATGAGCAAAATGCAGGTGAGAGTTTCAGCAGCTCTTAGATGCGAGTTTTCCAAGCATCTCTCTGACAGAAGCAAAAGTCCTCTTTGGGCAGAACAGTCCGTTATCACTGTGTAGGTTTCTTTTTCCCCATCTGAACCTTCTTCTAAAGCATTTGAAAGCTGCCACTGTCAGCACACAAAACAGTGAGCTGCCCAACTACCTAAGACAGCATGCACAGTCCCTGCGCACCAGGTACGCAATGGGAGGGTGAGACTATGCACAGGTCCTCAGTACTAGAAGACAATGGCAGACAGACAGACAGACTTTGCTTTAAAATGTGTGATGCAATGCGTAATAACGTTCAAGTGCTAGAACTAACCAGTAGCGCTCACAGATGCTATAGAAGAGGATGCTGTTTTCTTGAAGTGTTTGCAGCCATTTGGTGCTACTGCCCCTGCAAGTGAACAGTAAATTTTCTACGTGCCCAGCAGAGGTGAGCAGGGTAAGAAAAAAAAGTACTTCTCTATCTATTCATCTAGCTATAATAACTTCTTGTGCTTTGTGAGCACTCTTTGTATACCCATGGTGGTACCCAGAAATTCCCCTCAGAGAAGACACTAGACAAAGACAGGCTCTTTCAGGGCCTCGTTCACCAATCCATCTCCAACTTAGGTCTCCCAGGCTTCCTTCAGCATTCCCTTCCATCCCCGGGCATAACAAAAGGTCGTTTTGAAAAACAGAAGTTTCGAGGGATTTAATAGTGAAATACCACAACTGAAATAAAACTCTGAAAGCCTCGAATCAAAACATTTCCCAGCAATGCAGCTGAGCCCAACACCTGCATCGCTGAACTTGTTGCAGAAACTCTAGGACATTCCCAGGGTTCAAAGCCTGTGGAAGTTAGTTGAGCCTGACTAAACACAGGAGTGGAGACGGTTGTTTGAAAGCAGGTATCATCCTTTTGATGATTTTAGTCTGTGGTGTTTGCAGGAAGAGTCATGAAAGATAAATTTGGTAAGCAAAGCCCAGCCAGGACACATGCTCCTTCCTGCCACAAAGTAGGATTTCCCCTGCTTGTTACCCTCATTTCAACAAAGAGTAGGAGCAAAATCAAAGTTTTACTGTAGCTTTTGTTAATTCTCTAACTACTTTGGGGCTACTTTTTGATTCTTACAGAGGAGAAACAAAAAGCACCTGTAAGAATCTTGATAAAGCCACAAGATCTACTTAATATTTGACTCTACGGATGCATGTGGGGATGAGCAAGAGGATCCCAGGAACAGGTGGAGCTTTATTCAACCTGCCCAGCAGAGCTGGTGATGGGACAAGAGAGTGACTATGTGCTAGGAAGAAGCAGGGGGGAAATACTGCAACTATTGGGGGTGTTTTCACAGTCAGAGGCTGACAACGGATCAATTTCATGTTTTGATAATGTTTCCCATATGTGGAAAAGATCAAATAATGACTTCCTTCTCAGCCTTCCTATTGTGCGTGTGTGGGCACAGGCACAAAACCGAAATGTCAGGTATCCAGCAATGCCACCGCACATAGTTAACATTCACAGACCTTGAAAAAAATCTTCAAGGCACAGAAATAATAAAAGAAACCAAAAGGGACTATGAAATTTAAAATAAAATTAAAAAAAAAAAGAAATGGATGCAATTAGTGTCAATTTGACTAATCCAGCCCTTGACAGCTTTTCTGCAGTAAATAAGAGCATGCAACATACCCTTTCCTGCCAAGCCCTTTATTAAGGCTCTCCCAAGAAGTCAGTGCTAGTGACGGACAGCACGATGGCTGCTCATTGCTCACCTGGGCACAGCACAGATCCTTGTGTCCTCCCCTGCTGAAAGAGGCGACTGTTCTTACTGCAGCAGCTTCCCCGGCTTCCCGTGCCTTTCAACCCCCATCACGAAGCAGGTTGTCAATGGAAAGCCGTTGGAAAATACAACCTAAAGCCTCATTTATTTTCAAATGCTCTTTATTTTATGAATCCATTTGGAGCACACAGTGGATGGTAACTGCACGTGAGGAATATTAAATTTTACAGCGCTGCTAATGAGCAGTTTATGGCTGGCTTATTTCATAGCATTAACTGTAATATAAACCATTTAATTTACGTTGCCACTTGGGCTACGAAGGACTCCCATTCCTCCTCTTTCCTTCCTGATCTATGGTCAGTTGGCATGGGGAAGCATCTGGTTTTTGAGACCATAATTCCCCTCAATCTAGTATTATTTACAGATCTATAAAACGTAAGATAAATTATGATCTGTTATTAGAAAACCGTCTTGCTGTTCGTTTTGAAAATGCAATCCTATTGCATCCTTAGGGTAATTATCCTTTTAGCATCACTGCTCACATTACCTAGGACTGGACACTTAACTAACTTGTAAAAATTACGGCTGTTATCCTTGAACTGTGGTGACCAATGCAGGTACTTTTGTTGCTGTGGTGGTCAGGAGGGGTGGCACAAGGATGATGATGTTGTCTAGGCTTGACCTTAGAATCATAGAATCATAGAATCGTCCAGGCCAGAAGGGACCTCCAAAGGTCATCTAGTCTGACCTCCCCGCAGTCAGCAGGGATGCCCCCAACTAGACCAGGTTGCCCAGGACCTCGTCAAGCCTCACCTTGAATATCTCCAGGGATGGGGCCTCAACCACCTCTCTGGGCAACCTGTTCCAGTGCTCCACCACCCTCACAGTAAAGAACTTTCTCCTAATCTCCAATCTAAATCTGCCCTTTCCCAACTTAAAGCCATTGCCCCTCGTCCTGTCACTACAGGCCTTCGTAAAGAGCCTCTCCCCAGCCTTCCTGTAGGCCCCCCTCAGGTACTGGAAGGCTGCTATTAGGTGTCCCCGGAGCCTCCTCTTCTCCAGGCTAAGTCCTGTACACAAGCAGACAGCTTAACAGCATGAAAAACCACCCAGTGAAACAAAGTATATGACAAAGCAAGTGGTAATGCAGCGAAAACTTTCTTCTGACACTGCTGTTCTTAGGGGCCTAGCTTCCTGGCCACAGCAATTGGAAGGCGCTGTTGCAATTTTCAAGCCCCACCTAGATGCACTCCCAAGTGATGTGCTCTGGGCAGTTCTGCTTCAGCAGGGGAGTTGGGCTAGATGATCTCTAGAGGTCCCTTCCAACTCTGACAACCCCATGACAATGCCTCATGGACCATATTTTTGGGAGACTGTTCAGAAGAACAGTAGTAGTAAGCATGTCATTTCTTGGACAACGTGGATCTTAGGAGAAATGTGAGAGGAAAAATATTGGCTTTTTAAACTAGCTGAAGAGACCTTTCATGATGACAGAAATGCAGAGAGGGCTGCAGAAGAACAAAGCATGGGTGTTGTGGCTGAACGAGGGAGAACAACAGCATTTTGTAAAACAGGGAATGGGAAGGTGTAACTGGCAGAATAAAACATGGTTTCTCTTCAGCTGGGAAGAAGGGAGGAGAAAACCTATACATTCCAGAGTGCCAAGCAGATAGTAAAGAGCGAATGATCCTTTACCACCTCCTGTAACACAAGAGCACGTGGAACCTCTGCCAACACTTGGAGGTACCATGGTCAAGATGAACAGCAGGTAAGTCTGTGGAAGAAAAATCCATCAAAGGCAAGAAAACACAAAGATAATCCCACGGTCTCAGGATGTCTTTGAACTGTGTGGGGTTTTGTCAGGGAAGCACCCCCTGGTGCTTGCCTTGTTCTTGCACTCTTCCCTGTGTGATGCCATTCTTCACCGTCAGGTACTGGGCAATACAGACCTTTGCTCTGAGCCAATGTGACTGTACTTATGTTTTTAAGAATTTTTACTGCCTATTTCTGCAACCTACCTGTATTGGGAGTTACCTGAAACCGCAACAACGTACATCTCACACAGGCAATTTGATGACCTTGCTGGCAGGCAGTGAAAACGCATCACTACCAACGCACCTGCCACTTCCCTTCCAGAGAGAACAGGGACAAAGGCATCTGTCTGAAAATAATAACACTTTATTTGATTTTTTTTTGTTGTTTTGTAACATTATCATAAATGTTCTCTAGTCTCAGAAAACAAAGCCCTAGTTTGGAAAATAATGCACATACAAATCTCTTCTTACGGGTATTAAGTATACAGAAATATACAAAGATTTCTCTATTATTGTAATATATCATCAGAATGCCCCACATCCCACATTTTTACTCAGGTCCACTGTACCGGTAAGCGTAAACTACAAAGGTAACAAGCAACCTGAAAAAGACATGGTTTATATAATATAATTATATATATGCATATATATATATCTACAACAGTGCAAATATATCACAGCGTGCAGGCAGCAGTAGTCTCTAGAGAAGCATAATAAAATTGATTCATAGTAATGCAAATGCATTACAGAAACAAGAGACAACAATGACATATTAGATATACCAGAATATGCACACTTTAGCACGCTGATTTAAAATGATACCTTGCATTGACTCTTGCTTTAAAAACAAAAGAACAAACGTTAAATAATTCAGTAACAGATTCAAGGGCAGTATCTCACAATAAGGTCAACTGACTCAGATAAGGTATTTCACAAATCTTTACTCACACAGGTAAAGGCTTGGCCACACTGCAGGACTTGTTTGTCTTCATTTTAGATATATCTGTGTAACCTTTTCACAGAATCACAGAATCAATTTCCTTAAATTTCATTTACTTTTACCATAATTTAAGAGCATTTTTTCCAATTTTTTTTTAATTGCTCAACAACTAATTTACATTTGTAAAGGTTGGTACAATTATCATTGAGGCCAGGAAAGCTGGTTTTTGGAAGTAATAGAACGGAGTTTGTATAACAATTATCCTAAATGGGCTACTAAAATAAGCTACAATGGGGCCAGGAAAAAAAAAAAAAAGACATCACAGATGCCACTGAAGTAAAAAACTATCAACTTTAAAAGTAAAGACTTCCATGTCGCCTTGCAATCTGCTTAAAAAGACATTTTAGAGGTTTTTTCTTCTTGAAAGAGCAAAGCACACTCACAGATCCAGCACATTAGGTATTCGCTAACTCACAGAAGTCTGAAAGTCATCTCTCCATTTGGAACTACCGTGCTCTGTTCCCCAGCAGCTCAATTTTACACCCCACATGGACAGCAGCCACAAATATCTAGCAATAAGGATGCAAGCAACTGGTATGCATGGGATGACCTGCATGGAGGCCCCCAGAAAGAAAATGGGTCGACAAAATCTTGATGTATCTTGAAGGCATAAAGAATGCAGAGAATGTAGGCTGGCAGGCTGAGTCATGGGGATTTCTTGTGCCAAAGGATACTTATTTTGCCTGGTCACCCTTTGTTTTACTGTGCTGGCAATGGGTCTCAACAGAAATCTAAATCTCTTAAAGGGAGGTTCTACAGCTGACAACTGCATTAAGTTATGGTTCATGATAAGATTTCAAAATAATAAATGCACTGAAGCTACATTTCATGCTCTACAGTACCATTACTCCTTCACAACCTCTACGTGAAATGCGTACAGAAACAGGAATATGCTAATACACACACAGAATGAAAAGCAAACCTGTTATGTCTGCAGGCTCAACCTGCAACTTCTGGACATGTAATATGCAGAAGGATATCTGGGGTTATAAAAGCATATCTGGGGTTATAAAAGCCACTCAGTGGGATCCCTTACAACAGCATCTTTATATATTATGAAAACAGGGCAGTAGGAGTTGACCCCCAAAAATGCTACTGCCCCTGTACACAAACAGCAGAGCTCATGATTAACTTCAGTGACACTCAGCACTTAATTTGTGCACTTGCCAATGCTGTGTGGCAGGATTAATAGGACCCATGTCACGGGCACAGCAACGATCAGTCCATCACAAACTGCTACAGAGGACATGACACGAGGTCATTTTCTGCTTCCTTCTAGCTCCCAACTGCTTTTCAAAATGCCTTTGTTATTATCATACTTTATAAACGGCTTTCTGTACAGAACTAAAGGAAAGAAATTCCTGAGTGATTGCACCCTATTGGGCTGTTCTGGGAGGAAAATGGATACACATGAGAAGATTTTCTCAAAGAAAAAAGAACAACACGTGGGACAGTATCTCTTCAGCTACCACTGAGATCCCCCCTGCAGAAATACAGACCAATTATCTGCCACAGTCAACCTGCTCTGAAGGTGCCTAAGGCTAGATATTGCCAAAACCAACCTCGATGTTTTCTAATCCTGCTTTTGACAGGGATCTTTCCTATCCTGCCTGAGTGTTAAAGGGAACAACGATCCTAACACTCAAGAGTTCAGGGCAAAGTCTAGACCTTTTCTAACTTACAGTAGGGCTACAAAAACAAGGTAACCTAAACTACCACATCTACTTGTTAAGTGTGCGATGGTACCCACAATGTAAGACCAGTTTTAACAAGTTTTCATTGCAGCAAGGAATTGCTTGAACTTCCAGCCCCAAAGGTCTGAGCTCCAAAGGTTGAAGTGCCAAAGCTTTAAGCTCTAAATTTTCAACGTACAGGGGCTCGTCTCCTCTAATTTGATATGTCCAGAGCAGGTAGACAGACTATCTAAGGTACCTTCCTAGGCTCTCTTGATCATCAGGGCAAGTGTTATGTACCTCCATGAGGGCAAACCATAGTTTTTTGTAACAATACCCAATTCCAAATCTTCTGCCAGTGCCCAAAATACATGCCCAGGAAAGATCCCAAAGGAGACGCTAAGTTCAGTGTGAAGAAGTGCCTTTGTAGCTGCCCATCTAGTCCCCACTAACTTAAGAAGGAGCTTAAGAAACCAGAAGAAATGCATAAACTACAGCTCAGTAAGTCCAGGAAGCTGAATTATACTGCTAACATTTCAATTTGTCCACTTCAGGGCTGTTGCAAAAACTGGAACCATACTGGCAAGATGAGGATCCAGTCCTGCTCCAGATGACATTGCCCTGAACCCCCCTGGGAAGAGGTGCAACTTCAAATGTGGCAACTGCTATAAGAATACTCACTGTAAAGGCCAGAATTCAAGTCACTAGAAAAAATACCTACCTCAGGGAATTATGGAAGTACCTTGGGTCCATTTGTCCTGGACATGGCCGTTTCTTTCCTTTTTTTTTTTTTCAGAGAACAGTAGATGATTAACTGAGACTGAGCCTCTTGTTTTTAGACAGCTATGGTTTTGAGATAAACCATCTCCAAAAACACTACCCAGTTGACGAAAATGAAAAAGAAATGAATTTCATTACCCAAATCATGGTATCCATAGTTAAAAGCAGCATGCATGTAACATCCTCCTACTCCACACCTGGATCCTAACAAGTAGACCAACGCCACAGCTGACCACCTGCGCCCCCGTGAAGAAGGCTCCAGGCCAGACTCTGCTGTACCAAGATCAAGGAACACCAGAGCAGACCCCAAGGGTATCAGGGACTCCCCACAGAACTAATTTGTCCCCAGAGAAGGTGCTGGTAACTAGCCCTGCAGTGCTGGGGAGGGTCTCCTGCATCATGCAGGACAAACACATGTGACCCTCCCTCCCACCCGGCCACCAGCTGAGACTGGACTGAAGCTCGGTGAGCAAAGGCAACGTGGAAGAAGGTGCATCAGGCTGCAGAAAGAGGTACGCCTGCTGTTTGCACCCTCCTCACATGCATTTTCTGAGAAGCTCGATTTGGAAATGTTAACTCTCTTCCTCTGCCCCTTGTCATCATTCCTGAATACAATCGTCACAGAGTAGGAGATGAAAGAATAAAATCACATTCCAATAAAAGTTAACACAGAAAAATACTTAATTAAGATCCCTTCCTGCTTAGTTTGGAAAATAAAAATAAATGCTGACATTGTTTGAATGTAAAGCAGTCCTGGATTGGCATTTCTAGTACAGAAAGGAAAAAAAAAAAAAAGTTCCTTTTTCCTTAACAAAACTAAGCAGGTAACAAAAGCAATTATGCAAAGCAACAGTAAACATACAGAAAAATATAGACTCATCTCCATGCTTGATTTTCACTCTCCTCTTTCTCCTGAAAAGAAGTATTTTGTGATTCAAAAAGATTAATTCAAGATCACTGCAAAGCTGTAATCTCCTAGAGACTAACCCAAAGCAAGCAGATTTTTCAGTTGAGTCTCCGAGTCTGTTCAGCCAGTCAGCACCTCAGCCTTCCTGCGCAACACAGCCCTCACCCAGCAAAGCACTTAAGCCTGGACCTGATCTTAAAGACATTGGTCATTCCTCTGGTTCACAACGCAGATGTGAGAAGTTAAGATACTTAAGCACTGCGTTGGAACAGGGCTTCAAAGGATCCCATTAGAGCAGAAGACATCCACCTAGTCTTGAGAAAACAGGACAGCTAGGACCACCCTCTGTGAGGATCACTGGGGAGGTACAGGTCAGTATGTAACAGGCTGCTTTCTAGAAACATATGTTTAATGAAACAGTCATTTCTGTTGACAACATAGACCTTGACACAAAAGAATAGATTGAAATGCCAGTCATTGGATACATCCTGCACTTGGACTCAAGTGTTCATTTTCTCCCACTTGCATAAACAGCTCTCCCTGTGATGTGTATGTATATTCTTCTCCTCTAGTGAAAAAAAGACATCTTGGGCTCCAAATATTAAGGAGTGAACAGGATTTCAGCATCAGATATTCTCCTGTTACTCCCTTTGATCCATAAAGATGAAATTTTCTCAATTTCTTACGTGAGCAGAATCTGTTTTCCAAATCTTTTATTTAGTTTTAAGTAATAATGTTTTAAGTTCCTTTTTAAAAAACTTTCAGGGTTTTCCGGATTATATGCAAGTTTCCACAAAGAAAAATGACCAAAAAAAAATCCGAAGCACATAAAGTCTTAACTGATGCACACAGTAACCGAAGCAACATGCACAAAACAAATCGAAACAAAATAAGGAGGCCAACAGAACACTAAAGTCTTCCTGCAATCCCAACAGGAATCATACATTCAGTCTTCAAGAGAACTTTAAAAAAACTTTATCCTCTTAGGCAAATTTTAGCCAGATTGTGACTAGTTTGAATGGTAATAATGGCACTGATTTTAACCGGTTTATGGCTATTTATATATGGCTATATAAATGGAGGATTTGAAGTCTTTAGAATCTTGCTGGCTTCATTATTCTTCCACGTGAAGCCTCCAGAGCTTCACAATGCGATTGCTTTCCGCTACAGCACATGCATGCTCAGTCCATTAACCTGGGAATGTGTTTTATATCAGCCTGTTAGAATTTATTTCCACATAAATAGAAAGAAGCCAAGTTGAGGCTATGTTAAAAATTTTTGCAGTATATGCAAACATAATTGGGATGGACTTTAAATACTTCTGTCGCACAGCAGTGGCAAAAGAGATATCATTAGTTAATTTTAGACCTAAGGAGGGAAAGAATGATTATCTCATTTATGTGTAGCACTGAGTTTCAAAAGAATTAATTTATTTCTTTACTGGGATTCTACAGTCTGAAAGCGTTCCTTAGAATAGTAACTTTGAGCCAAATGCTGCCAGCAGATGGCTGGGAAAAAGCATATCTAACAAAAAATAGGAGTGACAAAAAATATTCCAGAGCATGCATTTTCTTAGGAACACCCGGGGAGGACCAGACTTTTGGCTACCATAATACAACACAAAATTACAGGAGGACTCATTGCAGGCTAAAGTGGTAAAATAAGGAGGTCTACAAACAGAGGAACAGACACAGATAACAAGACAGTGTCCAAGGAACTCATACTGCGAAATTGATCTAGATGGGAGAAGACATCATTGTCATTACATGAGTTAACAGTGTTGAAATGTCAGCAAGTTACTTCATTTGGTACACTGCAATGGATTTTCAATGTGGTATTTGGTAAATGGTGTTGGTAAACGCAAAACATGAACCCTGAAGGTATTTAATGCCATGGACATTACACTCTTTCCTACTCTGGACCAGCAGTGTGCAACAAGAGAGTAATCTGGCAAAGGTAGTTTTTTTATCTGTTTGCAAATAGCATTTGAACCACCTGTATTATTCACAAATATTTTGAGAGTCTTGAAATAATCAAGACATGTTGTGCCAAGGGATTTCAGCTTGTGACTTATTTAAAAACTGTTCAGTTATGGGTATTATTCAGAATAGCCAAAAATTTAATTTCTCATATCTGACAGCCATACAGACCCATACAAGTTTGTGATTATGCCTGAGGGAGCTGCAGAACTGTACAAGAGCTCTACTGTCTCCAGGACATTTTTTGAAAAAAACAGCAACAAAATTATGCAAAGAGGTTGTGTAAGGATTTTTTATTTCTACACTAACAATTGACCTTGGTTTCATAGGTCAATCTTATTTTCAGGAAAAGTTCAGCTAACCTTCCTAAACCATGTGACTTGACTTAAAGTCTTCCAGAACACAGCCTTGATTCAAGTACCCAAGTTTAACAGACACACGTGGTCTACGTCTATATTGGTAAAATAAACAGAGCCTGGGCACGGGCCAGGAAAGCTGGGAAACAATTGTCTTCACTGCTAAATGGCAGAGCTGCAGCCCATCACAGCCAGAGCTCTTCCAGGCAATGTTTGGGCTCTTGTTTAGAAGTTAGTACAGTACAGGAACCATTTCTATCAGTTCCAGTTGCCTGAGGCCTAACAGAGCTGGCCCTGGCTCTATTTAGTTTACTAGTACAGATGTAGCCATGAAGTCCTTGAAAATGGTCAGAACTGTTGACTGCTGCTGACCAGCACATGCCCAAAGTCCCTCCCCATCCACCTTACTGTCATGAGCTGCTGAGCTCCTGAATGGTTTGCTGACATTGAGCTGCTTCCAATCTACAAGCCTTCAGCATCCTGATAGGAATTTGTAGGTCTTATAGAATTTGTAGGTCTGACTTGGAAGTCTGTAACACTGGGGTAAACACACAGTAATGGCAGGAGGTAAAGGAATTCACACAGAAGTTCACCAAGGTGTCCAACACGAGTATGGGCCCCACGATTTCACTCTGGGTCGAAAATCCAAACCCATGAAAATCAGTGTCAAAATTCACATCAACTTGGAACCAGAATTCCCACTGCCCAGTTTACAAAGGTGAGATACGCAAAACAAATGCACGCTTCTTTTAACGGTTTCATTGGTGTTTAGATCAATTAGTATCAGTTCCCATGTCGTGCATGAAGAATTCAGGGTGTGAACAAAACTGCTTGGCATAATTAGACCTGCAGTATTACCAGGTCATTTGTATATTTTGAGGAGAGTCCTATATGTGTTGCACGTATAAGGAACGCTGCCATATGAGGCAGTCACACATGTTTTAACACAATAACCACAATGAGCTGTGGAGAGCTCTTGCACTCCGTCAGGCTTTAACAATCGCTCAGGCTTTAGGGATAGATTCTGCATTCACAGTTTGAGAAAAAAAAATGAGCCTTGGAGTGCTTTGATTTTTTCATTCGCAGGAGGTAGATCATACAGATAATGAGTAGAGTTAGCATTTTAAATATCACAAATATTGAGGATTTAAAAGACACTGAAAAAGAATGTTTTTTCAATCATTCAGTGGCAGCTTGAACATGTCTGACTGCCTGTGCTATCTGTTGTGGCTTCCAAATAGGGACCACAGGTTTAGTACAGACTCAGAATCTGCCTTTTCCTCCTATCATTACAATTTTCAGATATGAGACCAGCTCGACAAGCAAAGCACCAGAGTTCTAAATTTAGACAGAAACAAAAATAATGACTTCAATCACTTCAGGTTTGTTTTAAAAAAGTATCCGTATTAAAAAGATCTCTTTACCTTATTAATACATTTACAGACTTTTGGCCAGAAGGGACAATTCTGTGGAAAAGTATTGCAAAGTAATACATAGAAAACTGCAAAGATGAAACTCTGAATTTAAAAAGATGAGAGAATCCTGTTTTCTTTGCTTTCCCCGTTTTTCATCTCATTGCCTTGTCACCTATAGATGACATTATACTATTCTGGCTACCAGGACTTGTATTACCTTATCATGAAATCGGTTTCCACAAGGAAAGCTCCTGCAGCCAGGCTTTTTATTACGGTTACACTGCCTCGGTATTGATATTCTGTGGTGTAAAATTCCCTTCTATTTCTTCTTCCTAGTTAAAGCTAGAAAGTGTAATGAAAACATGACCCAACCCAACTGGACTGATTGGCTTAACACTATATGTCCACTATCCCATTGTGGTTCTCTATGGGCTAGGTCATAACAGCATCTAGCTGGGCACTGGAGACTGGCCTGCCACAGTGAGACAATGTCAAGTGCACTCTATTGCATGTCTAAAGATCTTCCTACTGCATCGTTTTAGCTGTTTTTCCTTTACCTCTCTGCTCGGATTTTGTATCTGAGAACAAAATAGGCAATCAGGCGCAGAGAGAAGAAGAAAATTCCAAGAACAATGAAGTCCAGGTAAAGTTTGGCATTTTCTACATCCAGTTCTCTCAGAATGGCCTCTGATTTTTGAAAATGGCAAGTATCATCTTTGTCACAATGCAGATCTTCTCGATCCAGTCCATAGATGGAGAGAATAACTCCTTCAAACCCGTATCTGGAAAGAAGAAGGATGGATTACAAGGAAAAGTCCCAGTGATCTGTTTAGAAATACTCCACCAGCACTACAATCCCTATGAGAGCTCGGCTGGAAATACCGAGGGGTTCAATATCATTCTGACACATGTGTCTCAGGGCAAATTCTATCCCTGTTACAATCAAGTAAATTACATGTCACTGGCACTTTACGTAAGATTGAACAAGGGCAGAAGTCTTGCCTTTATCTGCTTCCAGTTAGTGTATAGTGCAATTTCTCTAAAGAAAAACATTAAAATCCAAAGCAGACTACTTTAATCTCATATTCAGAAATTCTCCTTTTAAAAGTGACATCATTAATTCCATTTTTGAAAGTAAGCAACAGGGGCACAACTGTTGTTTGAAGTCAGAAACATATTAAAACTGGCACAGTCTAAAATGTCTCTTCTCTTTCCTCCCATGTGCCACAGTTTCACTCACAGTTGCAGTTCCCGTGTCTCCCCTGGCACTGGGTGCACTTCGGATTTGACTTTGCAAGCAGATACACCATCATGGGTCCCTTGTGCATGACAGCTCCCTCCAGCTTCAGGAGACCCCATACAGGCTAGACAACTGCTTAAGGCCTCATCTGAAATTCCAGCTAGTAATTTGGGGCGTGCAGTCTCTTAAATCTTTGAAAGGTCTCTGTGTAAGACCTCACTTGCCAAATGAGAGGATATTTTAGCTTGTGTGTTCTCAGTAATAGTGTGGCTTGGGCAGGGTGGGGAAAATGGGGATGGGAAAATTTACCTCACCTAATTTCAGCTATAAAAATTTAAGTGTCTAGTCTAAAGTATCCCTCTGTGCTAGCCTCAAGAAGTTTCCTGGTGGCAATTATCCCATCTTAAGATAGCTGTCTCAGGCAGCGAGGGTGACAGTTGCAGATAGGATGTAAGGTGCCTATGATTCTTAAACCACTAGTTTAGATTAGAGATGACACAAATCCTGTGCCTCTTGCAGCAGTGCTACAGCAAAATTTAAAAACAGGTCTTTATCCAACAAGTCTGCCTAGGATGCAGCAGTGATTTATACAACATTTTCTTCCAATATGAGGTGGTGGCATCAACTTATCAGTTGGGCATACTGTCCCTATTATTTCAGAAATCCACTACTACAAAATCCAGGGACGTTTGCGTGCTGTCCATTCCCACTGAATTCAAGGAGACTGATACAGACTTGTGGCTGATAATCTGTACTGAATGTCCCAATCTATTTCCTATCATACACAACATAAAATGTAGTGGCATAATGCAGCCTAAATCCCATGTATATTTATAGTCTTATAGTCTGAAGTCTCTTTGGCACCCAAAATAACCAATCAAGCAAACAACAGCAAAAAACCAGCATTTCCAAGATTGGAGGTTAATGGCCTCCCTAGAAGTACCTGACATAGGAAATGTAGGACATCCACTGGAGGTATGTTGGGATGGTATCAAAGCTGACAAAAAACCCAGAGAAAAGAAGCACTGGGATGGCAGTAACTGGGCCCACAAAAGTGGCCACCTGTGAAAAGAAGGAATAAACAGTCTCTTGTCAGATAGCCAGAGAAAAAAGAAATAATTAACTTGTTCTTTTATCTGATGTCCTGACCTCCAGTAAGGAAATCAGCCTTTAGAAGAGCACACTTTCCAAATGGAAAGTCCTTTGTTCTGCGCAAACACAAATAGGCAGTGAAAACCTACTCTCTTAGGCAGTGGGGAGCAATGCCACTCAACGTCTTCTGATAATGCTACTCCTCAAAACTACCACAGTTTGAAATACCATGACATTATTAAATTTTCTGGACAAGGTTTCTTGTGAGGGGGAAGTCAGATGCTGTTAGTGGAGGAAAAGTGGTACATCTCCTCTTTCTAAACCCTGCTACTAGCTGATGATGATGCTGTGCTGCTATCTGTCCTCCGAGGGACTCGAACCCACCAAGAAGTTTACAGAGCAAGATGGACACTATGATTCCCTTGCTTCTCTGAGGATGAGATTCCCCTTTCTAAATACTACCAGCTGGGTGGCTTTGGTTGGGGAACTCCAGCCTGTCCTCTATAACCCCTTCAGGGCAAAGGGCCATATAGGTATCTCTGGCAGAAGCAGAGGCACAGGGGTCACACAAGAGGTCTCTGCTTGTCTCCAGGGGGTGGCACTGAGAGGGAATCAAGTCTTCTACTGCAGAAATCTTGATAGTGTCAGTGCATATTAATGTCAGTGTTACCAGTGCTGCTGTGGAATGGTCACCTAAGCACTCCTCCTGCCAGGAGGCCGCATGGAGTTACACAACCAGCTCCCAGCGTGGCAGTCACTCTGCTCCTCTCCCTCCCTCTGCGGAGGTTTAGTTTCTGGGCAAGCCTTTTACTACCTCATCTCCTGCAACGTTTTTGTATATGTATGGAAGAACCCCCTCCTGAACTACTGATCCTCACGGTCTACCTCCATTTTGTAGGTGCATAGAAATGCATCGGTCCTGCAGTTTCTAAGACCTGCTCAGCCTGGGATGAGTAGCAAGCAACAACCATCTCAAGCAGAGGCAGGCACAACCCCATTTGGATGGGGAAAGAACTTCAGAACCTCACATCCAGTGTGTGTACATGCTATTGAAGTTGATGCTAGTGGGAAGCATCAAGTAGCTATATCAGACCAAGACAACTTTTTGCCTGTCATCTCTCAATAATGCCTTGGGGACACAGCAACAGTCACAGTAAGCAGTCAGTGTTAGGAGACAGCAGGGTTCCTGTGAGATCACAAAACACCATCAATACCTGGAGGGATGTAGAGGCTGCACCTATGAGAAGACCCAGTGACTGAGCCACCAGGGATGTCATGGTTCCCAAGGCTGCGAAGAGGACAAATCGCAGTGCATCAGAGGGCTGTGAAGTCATCCAGTACACGATGCTGCAGTAAGCCACAGGAAACATGATCTGCAAGGAGATTATGCTTGGAGTCAGTCCATTAAAGCCGAACATTTGCTCTTACTTTAAGCTAAAAACGTGGGGAGTCCTAGCTAATCCACACCTCTCAGCCTTTCCATTACGTGACAGGCATGGCTGAAGAGAATAAATATGTCTGCCACAGACAATGACCTCTATCTTACTACTTGGGCATTAGAAAACAGATTCCTTTCACTTATAGCCCTTTTCAATTCCCCTTTTGCAAATAAGCAAAGATGGTCTTCTGGCTATTAAAAAATATTGAGTCAGGTCTCGGCTTTTGTGAAGTTCTGCTGTTTACTCTTAGGGTGCTTCGGATTTGGACCAGAAGCTTCAGCATGCACTTATGAATAGTTTCTCCACTATTCAGATGGATAAAATACTAATACTATCTTCCTGCCAAGTGGAGTTGCCATGAAATTAAATGGTTCTTGTTTTATCGAAGAGCAGAGCATATACCTGAAAAGGAACATCAGCCATGGTTTTGGCGAGATAGTAGGCTTTCAAGCTGTACCAGTAGTTCAGATGCTCCCTAAGAAATACTCCCATCTCCAGAGGAACTGCAGAGAACACATATTAATAAGCTTGTCAGTGTAAAGTATTCTTGCACATAATAACATATTTTATCCATATCTAATTCTGAAATGCTGCCGTCTCGTAGTGGGATTGGAACTCGGAGGCCTTTGACAGACCAGCAATAGTTTCAGTGATTTGTAATGAAATGTAAGAGGACAGTCCTGAGAGTTGCTCACTGCCTAGGACATGTATCAGTCTACTCAGATGATCTGAACCTCCCTCAAAGCGGCTTTTTGAGAAAAAAAAATGGTGTTAAAACTTAAAGAACCTGGTTGTTCCTTTTGATCCAACAGAGAATGTAAAGTAACAGTGCTCCCAAAGAAAGTATGGAACAGTCCATACTGCAGGAGTTTGCTTCTGATACCACATGAATACACTGATCTCACACAGGAGTCATGACTTAAAAGTCTGCCATGATGGCCAACCCCCATTTATATACTGAGCATGATGGTATGGAATATTCCTTTGTCCAACTGGTTCTGTCCGTGCTCCCTCCCAGCTTCTATGGGAATCGGAAGAGGTCCTTGACTAACATAAACATTACCTAGCAACAACTAAATATGTGTTATCAACATTCCTCAACGTTCTTCCCACGCCAAATCCAAGCCACAACAGCTTCTAGAAAGAAAATTAACTCTATCCCAGCTGAAACCAGGACAGAAATTTTTACTGCTTCCCTAGAGAAATTATTACTGCTCCCCTAAGACCAACCACAAGCTCATGACACAGTTGAAATGCACTGGCACCTTAGGAGAAAGGGGAAATTCCAGTCCAGGGCTGTAATAGTGAACTATTGGCTGGTACTCACATGTGAGGACAGTTGGCATGAGCGCGGCAAACATGAGAAACAACATGGAAAAAAAGAGGAAGCCGGAGTTGCTGAGGACTTTCTTAGCTTCATTGCCAATGCCTAAGTAGAGCAAGCCGATGAGCAGTCCGATGCCAATGTGTGAGGTGATACGCAAGTGTGTCAGCACCTACGAGGCACGGAAAGAGTAGTATTTCTGATCAGGAAGTCTGGGCTCAAAAACAATGGCAATATGACTGAAATCAGACTGCGGAAAAGGAGTTATGCCCAGAAGAACTTATATAGAATTGTTCCCTTCCTACTGGCAAACTAAGCTTCAGCTAAGGAAAACTGACTGTAATGAGCTTTCCAGTGTGAATCAGGCACACGGCTACCACGGAACAGAAAATTTCTTCCTGTAAACACAGGCAGAAACTGCAAATGCTGCAACCTGAAATCTTGCTGTCTGACAATGTCATGGAGCCATTGGCCCTCATTCATCAGGAGAAGCAGACTTTCTCTCTGACTAAAAGACAAATTTCCCAAAGCAGAAGGAGGCAGAAAAGTTATTGCAAGCTTGTATAGATGAAATTAACTTAATCAGGCATAAATTAGCCTTTTGTGCCTTCTCTGCAATACAGTATTCCTACAAGAGGTATGGAAGAACAAAAGAAATAATAAAATTTGGAACAACTGCAAGCCTTTACAGTTGAGCAGGAAAAAAAACCTCAAAACCAACACTTATTCAATCTATAGTTTTCCCCTTGGTGGAGTTGAGGAGAAGACTGTATCATCCATGGTTAGTGCTCACACACCTCTGAGATATGCTCTCCACATGTACATTCTGACATTCTGATCAGCTAGCTGAGCAACATGGAGAATGTGAAGCTTCGGATTACAACAAGCATCCCACATGAACATGTCATTTTATTTTTGACCAAATATTTGGTACTAGACCAGATGTGCAAACTATGCCAGATTGCAGGAAGGCAAAATTCAACAACTGAATTAATCCTTGAATGACAAATGTACTGTAATATAAAACAGCAAGGGAGAAGAACAACTTATGACAAAGAAATATGCTGGCAAAACAACAAATGGGTGCAATATATATATGGTCTGGAAATAAGAAGATGCTTCCAGCTACTAGAATTGAACAGTTCTGCCATATCTTCCCATCCAGAGCAGTGGGGAAAACAGTTGATTGTTTTTACTATGGCATTCAATATAGCGTTTCCCTTTCTGAAAGGGAAGGAATACTGTGGTTTTCTGACAGCAGAGGCCTGGACACAATGGTCCAGTAGATTTCCTCCAAGCCTGTAGTTCTGCATGGGCATGTCTACACTGCAAGTGACAGTGTCTTAAAAAGGTACCCGCCTGGGCGCAGAGCAAAATCAGTGTAGCTGCAGCATCTGGAGCTCAGGGAAGCTCAGCTTACCCTTTCACAAGGGTAACTCACACAAGCTGAGCTCCATGTGGCTCAACTGCTTTTGGTTTCCAAACTACCTCATCAGAATCCACCATGTGCCCACCAGTATAGATATGCTGTCTGGCTTTCCCCTTTTCTAAGGACAGGTATGTCAAATTAATACATCAATATACATGAATGTATACATTGTCTTTTCCGCCCCTCACGTAAAGCACTGAAAACCTTCCAAAATGCAGAAAAAGCAGCAGATAACCCCTACTCAGATTCATCAAATTGCAAATTTGCCATGGAGAAAAGCACTCAGCCAACTAGTATGAATTACACTGCACATGGGTGAGTCCCTTGGACAGGTGTGCATACCTCATCAGAATCCACCATGTGCCCACCAGTATAGATATGCTGTCTGGCTTTCCCCTTTTCTAAGGACAGGTATGTCAAATTAATACATCAATATACATGAATGTATACATTGTCTTTTCCGCCCCTCACGTAAAGCACTGAAAACCTTCCAAAATGCAGAAAAAGCAGCAGATAACCCCTACTCAGATTCATCAAATTGCAAATTTGCCATGGAGAAAAGCACTCAGCCAACTAGTATGAATTACACTGCACATGGGTGAGTCCCTTGGACAGGTGTGCATGTAAGGTCTATTTCAGGAAACTCACCTCCTTAACTAAGGCCTGTTAACGAAGGGACAATCCTATCTAGATGACATTTCAAAGCATCACTCAGATAATGTGAATAGGCCTATCTCTTAAATTCACAAACAACTGAGCTACTTAGAGATAAGAAAAACTTTTCTAAGTAAAAAAAAAAAAAAAAAGTCCCATTGCATTTTGCTATGCAAACTAGGCAGGCAAAACATTTAATGAACTTATATGAAACCTGCAGGACCTGGGATTTTGGAGTGGGCCTTCAAGTGGGCCTTTAAGAAAAAAAGGTGAAAGCTGTATTTTTTTCCTGGGGAATGAAGAGTTTCATTATGATACTTAGTCCATCTCGATTTTAAATGTGTGAAAACAGATATGCTCCCTTTTCAAAGAAGCAAAATTTTTATTTATTGATTTTCTGTTTCACAAGGAAAAAAGAAAAATTTCAAGTATTAATCTGATACCACACTGAAATTACCATCTCAGCCACCCTGAATTTTCTGGAAAAACTTATTTTGTGGCATATCAATTCAATTTCCCACTTACTTTTCAGCAGGAAAAAAACCTATATAAGGGATTTGCCAGCACAGAGGGGATGTAGGCTTTTAGCCCAGATCTTCTGAGTTCCTCTGCAGAAAACTGTTGTTCACAACGAAGATGGTACAATTAACAGCAAGACTGAAAGATCAGTCCCTTTCCTTTGAAATTCTGTAAAATCTAAGCTGTTGGACAGGACCTTTAATGCGTATTTCACTACCTCACAACCAACTGAATGGGTACTTTGGCTACAATAGTTATTATAAAGGCAGTCTTACCGAATCCCTCATGATGGTGAGAAAAGTTCTTTTGAAGAGGATACAGAACTGGGTTAGGCAGCTGGCGGAGAAGCTGTGGCAGCCTTCTGTGGAGGAGGAATCCTGCGGAAACACATAAAAGAATAAACTTCTTTCTTTGCAGTATCTTGCTTAGTCTTCATTCACAAAACCCCACTCTCATCAGCTGAATGTGCCCAGAAACCTCCTCCATTGACCAAGGATTTAAATTCTCTTCCTCCCCCCTGCCCCCAACCTCCAGCCATGCCCTTTAGTTGTGATAAACAAAATACCTCTTCAGAAGGCCGGTGCCAGAGGAAGGGATTCAACTCATTCTCCCCACCAACATCTCTCTTGTAGTCTGTGTCACACATCCTCTCCCGTACGGCCCTTACCAGACGGCCATTCTGGTCTCCATATTCACCAGATGCTACCTCCATAACTACAAAAAACAGAAAGTTATTAGTTTACAGTACTGACTAATTACAAGCCTTATTATTAGATCCCCTTGATTCTGTTGCACCGACAGAAATAGCAGTTTTGCCTAAAATAGGCTCTAAAATGCCACATGCAAATTCATATGTATACTCACATAATTTAAATGTATCTTTCTATAAATCTTCAGAGAGTTCTCTTCATCCCAGAAGTTAAATGAACTATTTTAGAGCAAAGGGGGTGAATAGGAGACGCTCTTGGTAATAAAAAATTACAAAAGTCTATTTTTGTGGTTCTTATTGCTTCTTTGGAATTAAGAAACCACAATGAAAAAAACCCTCAATGCTATTAGCTGTACAATACCACAGTGGTATTATTCAAGATAAAAAACCAGACTACTGGAGCCTCTTTGAAAAGCCACTAAGATTAATTACTCTGAAACACTATGTAATGTGTTTTATCTTTCATTTCCTGGACCTTGACTTCTGCAAGAGAGAAATATTCACTAAAGTTTACCACTAGATGGCATTCTAATTACTTTTAAAAAAAATCAGAATAATTTGATTTTTAATTTAGATACATGTATGTACACACTGACATATGTATGTAAGTACAAAAGTATAAAACACACCATGGTCCCCATTACCCTGAAGGTGCTAATCAAATACAAAATAAATTAAATAAACTATTCAAATTGTCCTTACCAAAATCTGCTGGATTGTGGTAGGTTGGACAATTCAAACCCAACTCTCTCAAGTAAGGGACTAGGTTTACCACCTTCCCACGGTAAATGCATTGACCTTGACTTAAAACATAGAGCTGAAAAACAAGGCAAAGAAAAGAAAAAAAGAAAAATGTGAACTAGCATAAAAAATTTTTGAACCTGTCACCTGTATGACAGCAACCAATGAACCTAATGACCTCTCCTTGTCCCAGTGGGAAGAACACCCTTGGCAAGATTTGTCCCCATTTACCTTTGTATGCAATTACAACTAATGGAAAATGAAATGCCTAAGGTTTGAATTCTGCAAACATTCATGCCGGGACTTAAAAGCACGTTAACACAGAAACAGAGTAATTCCAGCCCTAGACGCGTGCTGAAAACAGGCAAGAAACTGTAACAGCCAAGCCATCTAATTTCCACACATTATAGATATTTTGGGTTGGAAGACAAGGTTTGTGAATGTAGGAATGGAAGGAGAGGTGGAACAGCACAGCAATGGGAAACAGCTTGACTATTCTTACTTTTAGCCATGCTACTGACTTTAAATAAACCTCCTTGCCAGACTGGCAATCTGCAAGAGCTTGTTCACCTATGGTGTAGTGGGTTTTCTCTCAGCTCTCACATGTCTCATTCAGATCTCCCAAAAAGTATATTTAAATCTAACCTAAACCTGTACAGTCCAAATCCGGTTGTTAGGTTGGAGAAAATATTTCCAACTGACTTAATTTCAATTAATATTATTACTTCACATGAATAACTCTTCTGAATTTACACCTGTGTAGCTAGGATGAGAATGTGTAGTAGCAAGAAAGCAGCACTAAAAATCTCTTGCTCTAAATAACCTTTTCTTTACTTTACTGACAGCCCTGTGACCAGAAGCAGTGGTGGGTGAAGGCACCTTTACTTTACTGTGACCAGAAGCAGTGGTGGGTGAAGGCATGAAAATCACAAGTGTGATAATCATGGTTTCACAAACATACCAGCCAGATTCTTTAAAAACATTACATTTAGATAATGGAAACGGGCAGAGAAGAAGAAAAAAAAAACATAATAAAAAAGTATATTTTGCTCTTATTTATTTAATGGCTTTATTTGATTTGGAACCATAGACTAGAATTATTAATGTTTTTACTCGGAGAACGTAGACTTGAAAGGACAGCCTACTTAAACCACACATAAAGGGAAAGAGTTTGAGAATCATACCTGATCAAACAACTCAAACAGTTTAGCACTGGGCTGGTGAATTGTGCAAATGATGGACCTGCCACCCTGGGCTAAAGCCTTCATCAAAGAGACAACTTGAAAACATGATGCACTATCCAAGCCACTGAATAAAAGGAAAGAAGTTGTTCGTTATCCACAAGTCCATAGGCACCACCTCAAAACTAGCACATGTATTTGCTACTTCAGTCTCCCACTATTATCCTTTTATAAAGTTTCTCCGTAGCAGTTTAATTTTATCATATGCCAACCTTATGCTTGTATTTCTTCATCAGTCTTTTAATTAAGTTGGAAGCATGCCTGAGAATGAAAACTAGGAGTATTCTCAAAGCTGCCTTCAGGGACTTCTACATTTTAGGACTACAGATTTAAATGCTCCCAACTTTAATGAATAGATACATATTCATAGCTCTCCCAACCTCCTCCTAGACTGATCACAGAATTTGATTCTAAATATGCTACATTCATTATTAAAAGTCACACATTAAAATGCTTATATTCAAGCTATCTTTGCTTCAAGAAGAAAACTCATGACACAATATGAAATTAAATTCCTCTCTCTTCCTTCCTGTTTCAGTTTGTGTCTCCCTTAAAAATTACTTATAGTCCCATGGTCCAGCGGTTACAGCAGTGACCCCAGGCACTAAGTACCCAAATCAAGTTATTCCTTGGGGCCTTATTCAGTACTTACAGGCAACACAAAATGAGCCTTTTCCAAGGACTTAGAGATGAATAACCTTCCTGCAGCACTGTTCTACAATATCAAGTGGTATTTGTCTACCTTTAACTCTTGGCCATGAAGTACCTGGTTGGTTCATCAAAAAACATGACAGGAGGATTGTTCACCAGCTCCAAAGCGATGGCAAGACGCTTTCTCTGGCCTCCAGAAAGACTGCCAGTCCTTGTATTGGCACACGTCAGCAAACCGAGGGCTGTCAGGATTTCCTTTACCTAGAGGAAACACAATAATGTATGTCATTTAAATTCATTAGCACAAAAGAAAGTCTCTTTATTGATATTCATGGAGAAAGTAAACTAGCTCATGACATTGTTTCACCATCCATACGCTGAAGCCTTTTTCTGTCTAATGTAGGAAAGGTGGATCTTAAACATTTACTAGATTCAGCGGGCTTCACAGCCTACCATTGCCTATTTTGACCCAAATTCTATTCTATTCTACATCACCTGTCGCAGTATGGAAGCCTTGCTTGTGAAATGGGGTGGCAATCAGTTCTTCTATAGCACCCCTTGGATATGGCACCGACATCAAAAGAGCTTTGCAGTATGTGAGGAGTTACTGTACAGTGAAACCAAGAAGCTTCTTTCAATAGAACTTCTAGGCTGTATTTACAAGGGACTGGGAAAGTGTATAACAAAAATCAGTGATTTCGACAGAGCGATGACCTGCTCTTATCTCATCTGTTCTTCACAGTCTACTCTTTCAAGTATGGCCAGTCAGTTGCACACAGACTCTCAGATGTTTGGGATTTCCTCAGGGCACAGCCTCAGGAAGGGCACAGCTTGTCCCAGGGTCTTTGGAGCAAAAGGAGAACAATCCCAGCTGCTATGAATTTTTCTGTTTCAGTGATTGTAGATCTAGCCTGGAAGCCCTATATGAGGAAAATAGTTCTTCGGCATCAGTAAAAAAACAGATATAAAAATGGCTGAATTCAAGCTACATTGCAATTAAAAGAATAAACATTGGTTAGCTACCTCTCTCATTCAGAGGGACAAACAAACAGAACAAAACCCATCAACTCTCGTTTTCAGAGAGAAGCACCAGCCAAAACCTGACTGGAACTCAAGAAAAAAAAAGGAGAGTTTATGGCCTTTGGAAGAGGAGGCAGGCAACTTAGCAGGACTAAAAGGAGATTGTGAGGTTATGCAGGGGGAAAATTAGAAGGGCCAAAGTCCAACTAGAACTTAATCTGGCTACTGCTGTAAAAGCCAATAAAAATGTTTCTATAGATGCTAGGAGCAAAAGGAGGGCCAAGGAGATTCTTGGATCTCCTTTGTTGGATGTAGGGGAAGGATAGTGACAAAGGACAAGGGAAAGACTGAGGTACTGAATGCCTTCTTTGCTTCAGTCTTTAATAGTGAGACCAGTTGTTCCTTCCAGCCCCCTGAGTTGGAAGACAGGGATGGGGAGCTGAATGAAGCCCCCATGAGACACCAACTTAGGCAGGAGTGTTGATCTGCTTGAAGGTAGGACGGCTCTACAGAGAGATCTGGACAGGCTGGATCGATGGGCCAAGGCCAATCGTATGAAGTTCATCATGGCCAAGTGCCGGGTCTTGTACTTGGTTCACAACAGCCCCATGCAATGCTACAGGCTTGGGGAAGAGTGGCTGAAAAGCTGTCTATTGGAAAAAGACCTGGGGGCGTTGGTCAACAGCTGGCTGAATATGAGCCCGCAGTGTGCCCAGGCGGCCAAGAAGGTCCTGATGATCTTAAAGGTCTTTTCCAACCTAAATGATTCTATGACAAATACCTCCTTCCCTTTACCTGTAGGAAGGATGCTATGTGACATGGGTAGCACAATCTAGGTAAACTGGCAACATAAAGTATGGTTCACTGGAGATTTTTCACTTCTCCCTGTTTTGAACAAGCACTTGTAATCTTGCTAATGCAACTACATAAATTAATAAAATTTATCTGTGATAAACATTTACCTTACAATTTACAACAATAAAGTAAATGATCTAGTCCCGTACAAGTCAGTAACACTAACCAGAAAATGACTGCCCTTCTAATATTTGTTGAATAAATGCATACAGCAGTTTTTTCCTCAAAGAGTTGTTTATAATTACAGTGACAGTGCGAACAAGTGAATTAACTTTCTTGGCCTAACTTACTAAAGTGTAAATGAATTAAGACTTTAAAAGTACAAATAAAAGTAACAGCTGTTTCTACACAAATATATTTTCCAATAAAAAAATCTGTTTAGCATATTTTTAAAAGTATTTGAGAGAATCAAAGCAATCTTAAGCTATCAAACATATGTTGATTCCTGTAAGTTTCCCTCTCTGGAGCTCTTTCTGATTTTCAAAGGTTCTGAGACTGAAGAAATGCCAAATGTTCCAATTTGGAAATAAATATGGACAAAAGACAGTCATGAAAATGGCTGCTCTACTTTTAAACTTTCCATAGTTTTCACATTTCAGGGGAAGGGTATGCTTTTCACCAAGTGGGACTGAAGCAGTTTCACCTTTTCCTCTATAAAAATCTGCTTAAGAATCACATGCCAGTTATTGCCAGAGGCATCTTTTAAGAGAGTCCTCTGAAATGGTTAAGCCTAACAAGTCAAGTTCAGGCCTCCATCAGATAAAAAAAAAAATGATACTAGCACCTGGGGAAGAGCAGGAAGCCTCTCAGGTTCTGGCCACAAATATTTTATGTCCATGCTCCACTCCCACTCCCGTGTCCCCTCATCTCCTTCTCGCTCCTTTACAACTTGGTTTCAGTTGAGTCCTGCAAGGTGGCTTCTTCCAGTCACCTGCCTGATTTCCTAATTTGCCCACAGAGGGTGTACTCAGTGAATGCCTCTAGGAGCACAAAATGCACCAAAACAAAAATCTCACCCTTCTATTGATGAAAAAGAACGCTAAAAAATCATGGAAAGCTCAAAACTTGAATTTTGCAGGAGTAAGCAAAGCAAAATGGTATAGCTTCCTATACCAACAGCAACTCCCTTTTCATTGGTGGGACAACAGAGTTGCTAAGCCAGCAGCAGACTTGGCCAGAGTAACATACATGCCCCTAACAAAGGTAGACGGAGCAGCCAGCTTTCTTGGAAGGTAGACCTCAGTGTTAGCTACGGGGCCATGTTACCACATGAGCACCATTAGCCCTCAGCATAACTGCCACGTAACAGAGGCTTCCTCCTTCGGGAGGCAGCATATGAGAGACCCTACTGTCTCCTTGGTGGGGCTGTCTTATGCTGGACTGAAACACAGCTCAAGGCCAGCCAAAACACCTCCACTTTCTGACCTACTGTTTCACTTTTCACAACTCTCTCAACAACGAGAACCATCTCTGCTTTCACCAGTGCCATGATTTTTTTATTTATATTTAGCTGCAGGCATTATCCTCCCACTCCTTGGGCATATATGGTTTTGAAACACGCTGTGCAGCACCAAACTGTTCCACTCCTAGGCTCCGGCATACTCTGGTAACTCCACCTGAGCAGAGCCTCAGCTCTGAGTGTCCTTAGGAATACATAGGCTCAGACACTTTAAGTGAAAATAAATGTGTAGAAGGGGCACATTTTCAGCCCTTTAAAGTATAACTGAGGTAACCAAATTCAGTTGAGATAGCCACTTCATACACAAGCTAGTACATCAGGAGCCATTTAGTCTGGTCACACACCTCCAAGGTACTTTCTTTAAAGTGTGATCAGATCAAATGATGGGCAGGAATCGTGGCAATCAGATGGGTGAGAGAAGCACACTTCCTACTGCAGGTCCAGCTGGGTTATAGGTCTCCATGGACGAAAACACACCAGGACTTCTCATCCACTCAGAAAAGTTGTATGTCAGCCGCAGGCAGAAGCAGGGCACTGCAGCATATGTGCATAAGTAAATTGTGCAACTCATTGCCAGTGTTTTAAAAAGGATATGTGCATGTTTTAGCCTAGATTCCTACTCGTCCAAACCTCAGTCACTCAACACGGCTTCAAAATACATTAATCTGTATCTTAAGTGCAACTTCATTAACTTGTTCAGTGCAACAATATGCCCACCAGCATAGTCATAAGGACCAACAATTCCAAACACAAGGACAGAAGCTCAGAACTGCTGAGCTTTTCATTAGTCCTTGGAAAAATTAAGGCCTACACCCACTGTTGCCACATGTGACTGATTTCTCTCTCCACACACAAGATGTATTAGCCCTAAGACGTGCGTGTTCGTCAATCTAAGGTGCTAAGGCACATTAAATGGAATCCTACAAAACCTGTGAATTCACTTCAGAAGATCTTTTGCAATTATCTACTCAGTTGCATAATGAAAGCAACTTTCAGAGAGGCTGTAGTAAACATTCCTTCCTAATGATACCTGTTAACTTTGAGGTTTTGATTTATTCTATCATTTCAAGTCCAGTGCAATTCAATGTTAGATAAAAATGTCCACTTTCTGGAGCTCACTTCATGGACCTCTTGGGGCATCCCCCAAAATTCTGTTTGATGGACAGTATACATACCATTTCTCTTCTGCCTTCATCTTTCTCCTGAAGTTTCAGATGTGCAGATACCTGGAACGCAATACAGTGGAATTTGATTTTGAAACAGTCTGAAGCACAAGAACCAGTTACAGTGGCTGTCTCAGGCACAACAGCCCAATGTACCATTTAAACAACCTCTTTCAACCCAGTCTCAGGGAAGTTTAAGTGGAACTATAATGTTCAAACGATAAGCGTCACATATGCCTGTGCAGTAGGTAACTGAGTATAATCTGGCTTAAGCAATCACTCAAGCATCTGACAAAAAGTGCATTAGAAAGAAAGGGCATTCTGCAGAAAGAGCTTGAGATGAAGATGGGAGAGTCGTGTTTTTAGCATAGCCACTACTAGAGTAGAAGTAGCCAAGAGACCATGCTCAAGTCAAAACAGCACTTTGCAGTTGGAACATGGCACATGGGGAGAAAGGGAGAAACAAGCTTATTCAACCACCATCCAAGAAAAAAGATGGTCAAAGGCTCATTCTGTGCAGAACTGTAGGTTCCATTCTCTGAGAGGTCTACAGAGTACAGGCCTTAGATTTTTCTTCTAAATCATAATGCTGGACACAAATTGAAAACAATAAAGCTAAATAATCTCAGACAACCCCTAGAAGGATGAGCCTGAAATGGAATTCAAGTCATCATCAAAGTCCAAGCACTTACATTGAGTGGGATTAAATAGAGACAACGGCTTGTGGCATTACCAGGAGTAAGAAAATGTGCACAATACACAAAGACTCCTCCATTTTCTCCCAGCCAAATAAACTAGAGACAGACACAAAGCTCACCATCATAGCTTCCTGGACAGTCAGGTGAGGAAGCAGCATGTCATCTTGCATGATGTAGCAGGAGACTTTGCGAAAAGAACGCAGGTCACGAGGCTGTCCATTGATGAGAATTTCTCCTTTCATTCCCGTCTCTCTGAAATGAACCAAGAATATAACCAGGGGTGAATCTTGCCCCCGCTTGTACTGCCACAGCCCTCAGTATGTTGGAATTCTTAGGTAATTATTGCCCAGTATGGAATAAAACTGACACAGTGAATAGAAACTAATTTATTTCATGATTATGCTCTCTTTCATAAGAGGCTTCATGCAATTTCACTGAAAATTCTGACTCCAAGTTAGGACAAAATGTGTGCTGTCTTATATGAATGTGTGAAAAAAAACCTAAGCTATTCAAGTGATTTTTGCTAGGTTTCTTTATCCTGTTCCTTATGCCCTAATGACAACAACACAGAGACACTCTGTATTTGGCCATACAATAGGGGATTCAGGAAGATGAACCACAGTCACTTCACACATCGCAGTTTGGTCAAGAAGGCATCAACATTATGAAAGCAGCGACTAAGAAGGGTCATTTTTTTCAGTGCTTATAAAATGTGATTTAAAAATACCACAAACATAAGACACTGAGTCAGATTTGTTACACAGCTAGAAAGGAGAAATTTTTGTGTGTTTTGGACTTTAAGTTGCTTCCTATTTTTGGATCTGACTTGTTAACAGACAAATCCTAAGTGACTAGAACAGGAAAAATTGAAAAAAATATAAGCAATAAGAACCTAAGTCAAAATCTGTGAAATACCTGTTTTCTATAAACAATGGCCAAGATTTCTTCTGCTGTTGTCTCCAAGAAGCTATCAAGCTAGATGATCTTATCTTACTTGGGATTTTCATTGTTACTGACCTGTATCCTGCTAGAATGTTCATGAGCGTTGACTTCCCAGCTCCTGAAGGACCCATAATTGCAACAAGCTCTCCACTGCTGAACTTCCCTGAAATTCCTTTCAAAAGGGTCTTATAACCTGAAAGAAGAAAGAAAAGTTCACCAAACCCTTCACAGTCACGTCTGGTGGGCAATGGAAGTTTATTTCCTCTAAACGATGATGACAAAGAGGCATTAGCAGGTACCCACTAAGAGGCTGATGCTAAGATCAGCACACTGTAAAAACTATCAAAAGCCAAATTCTGAGTGGGAGTGGCAGCCTCCTCTCACTACACAAATGGTGTGGTGGGATTACAGGATTGCACACTCTTGATTTCCTCTAGGAAAACTTTCAAACAGGCCTAAGAAACCTTGCTGCCACTTGCTAAGTGTCTTCTCAGAGTATTCTACTAGGATGCTGGTGTCTCCGTTACCATATCTAATACTCCACAGCTAATGTAACTCCACAGCCTTGGAACAGACCACCCTCCAATTACTGCAGTTTCAGTGCCAAAGATCTGCCCTCTCACTAAAACAACTCCTCCTTGGAGAGTAATAGTCATGATCTAAAAACCAAAGCCCATTTGTTCATTCCCTGCTAGAAGAGGTATGACAAGAAACAGCAAAAGGAGACCTACAGGAAAAGACAGTCTGCTTCATTCTCTTATCATGAAGGCTCTCTTATCCTAAGAACCGTAAGGGCTTGTCTAGACAGTGAGACTGACCACAGTAATTCTGTAAAATAATTCCTAGGGAAATACTAATTCCAGATTAAGAACATACAGGGTTTTTTACCCATTTAGCTTAATCCACTTCACAAGATCATGCCACAATAAATATCTCCTGGGACAAAGGTTTTCTAGTGTTCTAGAACCACAACACCAACTTAGTATCTCACCTTATTCCTTAATAAATTACCTTGGCCAGTGAAACTTATTTTAAAGCCCCAGACTCCATGTTACTCTACGTGTAAGAAAATTGGGACTCCAATGAGAATTCCAGATTTTCGCTTAGTTGTATACACTTTATCCTGCCTGATTCCCATTTTAAGGCGTAACAACCGGGTGAGGAGGGTGGAGAGAGCCCTGATCGACATTTAAAATTTTCAGGATCGCTCTCCCTTTTATTATTTTGTTTGCTTATTTCAATTTAATTACCGGTGCTTTTAGTTAAAACTTCTTCTAGTCAAAAAAATGTTAAGTAAGGTGTCAACAAACAATCTTATGCATTGAAAATGTTTCTGTAATTAAATTAAAACCAAAACAGAAGGGTGGGAGATCGATTCACGTACAGTGTTGGGATGTGGCAATCCATTTTGCCATACTGGTGTATATGCAGGCAGCATTTATAAACCTGATGTAAACTACTCCAGCATTGTAATTATCATTAATATAAGCTGTAGCTGGAACACTTAAATGCTGTAAAAAAACCACCTTGTCTGCAAGCTCCTAGAAAATGAATGGCAAATTATCTTCTCTTTCCTCCTAACTCCTTCATTTCTTGGTTTCCTTTATCCCCGCTTAGCATTCTCTTTACATCTCCTTCTTTTCTCTAGTCTACATTCACACCCTTTCAATGCCACAGAGAGCAAACTTTTGCACAAAAACATTAATGTCATGCTGCCATGGGACCTCCCAAATCCACAGCCAATACTCTTCTCCAAGCTGTCCCCAGCCCAGGAGAAAAGCAGTAGCCGTAAAATCTCTCTCTAGAAATATTTGGTTCTGCCATTTTCATGGCAAACGTCCTAGAAAATGTAACTGACCAAATGTACCAAAATAACAGCTTGCTCGAGTGCCTTTTTTAAACAGGCCAGCAATTTTTCACTCTAAAATTTTGTCCTGGGCCTGAAAGAAACAACTTGTTATAGAAGCTGTAAGATATAACAGGTATGAAAACAGTGCCTGTTCATGGAGCAAGCCCTAAGAACAAAAGCAATGACAATCTATTGAAAGGAAAAACTGCTTTGAAGAGAGAAATCCACAGCGCACTGACAAGGTCTAACAAGCTTGTTCCTCATGCCAATGTCACCACCTTTTGGAAATCAACATTTGAAGGAAAAGCACAAGGAAGAGATAAGACCTTTCACACATGACAATATTTACGTAATGGGATCTATAGAAACAACGTACTTCATACTATCCCTTAAATGTAATAAAAGCCAGCTACCTCCCAGGCCTCATACGGAATTTGTAAGGAACTCAAACACCAGACTTTACCGCTATTTATTTGCATTATGCACACACCCACAAGTTACATCCAGTTGGAAAACTCTTTTTCACTCCGGTCAAAAGGTGGCCAAGTTGGCCTGTTGTTAACTTCCACTGGGACAGGAATTCCTTCACCGAGTCCCACACGTAGTGCACTCACTGGTGTCCCTCTCTATTCCGTCTGCCCCACAAGGCAGTTCAACATGACAGAACATCACGTGGCAACCTCACTACTACAATCTCTATTGTACAGGCTTGTTCTGACCCAGATTTCCAGGGCAAAGGGTTCTTGTCAGAGTTCTGTAACAGTCAGCCCATCATGAGTGCCAAGATCAGGACAGTAAATATTGCACAAACTTATAGGGAAGCGTAAATAATGTGTACAGCCATGAACACTGAAGGAGGTAAAATACATGCCCATCATCTGAAAACGTCTCAACATATGCACAATTACCTAAAATTGAAGCCCTTTCTCTTACTATATATGACTGCGAGACCTCACGTTACATCCATTAAAGTCACTTTTCCAAACACCATTTCACAAATGATAATCAGTTTATCTTTAATTGCAATATCTTCCCCCTCGTTACCTGCACTTGTTTCTGCCCCTCTGATGCAGATCTCCATTTTAAGTATCCTGCACACCATGTTAAACCAGAGCAGGACACATCTCTGCAACTCATTTGCAAAACAGTAGAGGAATATGATTTAAGGAGAGATAGAAAAAACTATGAATTTCAGATCAGGATCCCAATCATTGGCATTTAAAGTTGCTACAAACTCAAAACCATTTCTTCTTTTGACTGGAAGCACATAAGAAGCCTTTCTATTACAAAGGTTAATTTAGCAAACCCGCAAAAAGATTTGACACTGTAGCAATAGCGTGGTGCCCAGTATAATCCTTTATAAGGAATTAAAGTCCATAAGTAACTACAGTCTTCTCTTTCAGAATATTGAGGCTAATCTTTAACTGAATCAGTTGACCTAAAACTTCTATATTGGGCCACATGTCTTTCACGAGAAACAGATTATGCATTTGGAGGGGATTGTATTGTTACAGTACAGGGACTGTTTCACATCCATCCCGTATATTAGGAATTTCTGACCACCTTCAATCCCGGTTTATCTGACCTACCTCATTTTCCTTAGATGACCAGTTCATGATCCATACAGCAACGAGTGCCCATACACCAGCGCTTAATGAAAGACTGAACCTCAAAGCAAACTCACCCCAAGCCTGATGCATATTGTGGGCCACTCACTACAGCGGCCATCGCCTTTTGGACTGGACTTACATTAAGACCAAGTTTAGCATCATGATTTTCGGGTGTTTCTCTTAAAACTGCTTCGATTTGCAATGGAAAATAGCTTGGATCCTTTCAGTTTTCCAGTGTCCCCTCCTGGAGTTACTGCAACTTCATCCTTGAAAATATATTTAGGGGCTGATGCCCAGGGTAATCCAAATACCAGTTTACAAGAACTACTTAAAACACCAATTTGTCAACAGGACATTAATGTACCATCACCAACCAGAACAAGCACTCAGCAACTTTCTCTGTCCAACCCACTAAAAGCAGAACACAGAAACTACGAAATCAAAACTGAAAGAGAAAATTCAAGCGATGCAAAAACTTTTGGTGTTAATTTCACCTCACCTTACATTCCAGAGTTCCACTGCTTCTCCCAGAGAAGCGAAATAGAATCATGGAATCATGGAATGGTTAGAGTTGGAGGGGACCTTAAAGATCACGGAGTTCCAACCCCCCTGCCATGGGCAGGGACACCCCCCACCAGACCAGGTTGCTCAAAGCCCCATCCAGCCTGGCCTTGAACACCTCCAAGGTGTGTTTCATTTCCCTGTATTAGGATTTCCCATGGGAAGCAAACTCCAGGCACTGTGACACTGGACCAGATTCGCAGCCAGAAACACATGACCAGCCTGAACAGACCCCCATTCAAGAGGCGGATTTCCCTCCCCCCCTGGCTGCAGCACAAAGCCCCACAGCAGCCCCTTGTTTAATGAGCTGATCGAGGGTGACCTCTTGTACCGATGAAGATGGCAGGGGAGCTCCTGTTGCTCAAGTCACCAAAATTTTTGCTAGTGGATTCAGCAAGGGAGAAACGCGTTGATGGATTTATCTGCTTCCTTGTGGATTCTACAAGGATTTCTGGGGAGATTTGCTTTTTTCACTCTCACAATAATTATGATTAATCTGAAAAGAAGCAAGCCACCTCCTCCCCATGCTTAGGGTAGGAGCGCATGCTTCAGAATGTGTCTGAATCAGCACCAAAAAAACACAACCAAAACTCACTCCTACCCTTACAGTGCGTTTCCTCAGGTAAATACCACCTCTAGGCTTTTGACTAAAATGCTTCATTCATTTGCATTTCATTGCCAGTAACACACTCATGTGGTACTCAGAGAAATGTCACACAGAATCCTAGAAGTTTCCAGGCGTTGTAGCCTAATTCTGCATCCAGTAGGCACCAAGAGCCCTTCTCAGGTCCCAGGTGAGCACAGCAGGCTTTCCCGGCTCGCTGCAATTAGAGCAGGGTTTGCCCTTCCTAATAAATCTGAACTGTTTTCTCTTTCACCGCAAGCTCTTCTGAAGGTAGGAAATAGCTGCTGGCACCCTGAAGTACCACTGGCATGAAACTGCTCAAACGTTTCTCAGAAAATTCACTGTAGTAAACAGATAATGTAGGAAATTTCACCTCAGAGTTTGGCAAAATTATAAATGACTGAAAAACAATCACAAGCAGCATTTTGCACTTAAAAGGCAAAATCAAAAGCAACATAACCTGCTCTTTCCACACTTCCTACCTGCAGCCAGGTAGAACTCCATCATTTCTTAATTAAAATTTTTTATACAAGTACTATATTTTGTCT